TTATAACTTCAGTCATCCATAAATTCTCTACTTGAGAAAACTCAAAACCACTGATTCAGTATTCATAACCCAAGTGTTAAGTGCTACTGAATAATATAGAATATATTACTTTTTAATCTTTATTTATTTAAAAACTGAAAGAGTAACTTTTGTACACTTTGAAAAGATTTCAATCCTCACGAGATTGACAGGCAAGGCGAGAAGTGAGACAACATCAAGATCTTGTAGGAACTGTTGGTGAAGAGACGAAAGGAAAGAATAAAAAAATGGGCCATCGAAAGAGTTACATTCGCGAATAGCCGAGAGCTAATGAGGCAGCTTGCCCGGCGTCAGTCTCGGTTATATTTCTCTTTGACGCAGCCTCAGGCTGTCGGAACTGTCCTCCATCCATCCGTCGACTCACCATCTGCAGTGGAGTACCACTGGTAAGATCGAAGACACCAAGAAGACGAAAGCAGCGTTGAAGAGATTGACGTGGCACGCTCTCCCCTTTGACAAGAATGTGACAAGAACCAAAGTGACCTTGCTACTCTTTGCCTTTTCGTTACTCTTGCACTGCTAACTCACTCCTATTCTTTCTGCACTTTTTTTTTATTTTTTTCGATCTCTCTTCAAACCACATTATCAAATCACTGATCCTCTTTACCTATCACTGGTATTCTTGTATTACAAACTATAACTAATCAATCTCCGAATGGCACTTCACTTTTTCAAATAATATTCTTCAAATCATTTCCTTGAAAAATTAAGCATTTGAGTAATAAATCACAAAAAGTTGAAAAACAACCTTTCTTTTTTAAACTAAAATATAAACTATAATTTCATTGATTCATTTTTAAAGAAGATGCTCAATAAAAATACTCAATGATTTTGATTTCAGTATTTTGGATAAAATAAACTGTAACTAAAAATATATTTAGAGAAAAATATTATAAACAATTGATATAAAACTTTTCAGTTTGCTGTGTAATCACTTTTACTGCATGTAAAAATGTATCAAAAATGACTGCAATGTTAATTGAATGCGTGTTTAGATTGAAAGTAATATCATGTACCTTGATAATTTTTTTTTAAAAAAACCTTTCGTTAATCAATTTCGTGTTTATTCTAACAAAAGTTATTTTTCATCTATTAAATTATACTATAAAATCGATTGTTATATATTTTTAAAAATAAGCTTGTAGCTTTGAACTTAAAAATTTAAATAATAATTGAGAATCCATAAAATAATATTTCTTGATGAAATATCAACAAAGTTAATTGGCTAATAAAAACCAAAAAAGCACTGTACTGGGCTACAAATAAAATGAAAAAAGTTGATGTTGAATAAATTATTTAAACGTTCAAAAATATCTGATCGGTCGAACTGACGAGATTGCTGAGGTCAGCAATCGATAGCACTTTTTTCTCAGTTATTATAAACCAATCAATCTTTTTAGTTGATCTGATCAAGACACATGCACAACGGGATTCCTTCTATCGTTTATAGTACACATATCATCTAAGCATCCCTCAACAACGATAAGCTCAGATAAACGCTGTCAGAAGCCCGATTTCGACATCTCTAACATCATCGTCAAATATACCGCTAACATTTCATTCTTGTCTTTCTCTTTCACTCATCCTTCTTCAACCCCCCCTCCCCTTCAATTTTAGTTTTATTTTATTTTTTCTCTTTCTCAACTCTTCTCTACTCTCCTCAATCGTTTACTCTCTTCGTTGAATCAAGAGATTGATCCCTGACAAAGATCGACTGGATATCTTGAAATCCACTGACAGATCGACAACGAAACTTCATCGTCATCTTGTTCGACGAATCGGATTCCAAAGAAGTGACGTCTCGATTTTCAAAGTCCATTTTTCTTAACTCGAATACTTAAAATGCTTTTAGAAATTGTTTCTTCCCGAATATTCTCTTTCTCTCTGAATGAAAGGTAAACTAACATAATCATTTTCGACAAGCAATTAATGTTCGGTTCGAAAAATTATCTCATCTTATAAATACTAAGACATACTTACATGTCTGGACATAAATTAACAGAAGAGAAAATCGATTAGTGGTAATCACAGGTGAGAACGGATAATCCTACAACTTGATAGTAAATCGATCATAAATCAACTTATGCTTAGGATTCATATGTGTCTCCGTAAACAAGTCTCGATAGTAGAAACGAAAACCCGTCGGACCTCATGTCGATTCCTACAATTCGTGTTCGACACAAGTCGACTGTCATTTAGCATTGTGTCAGATGTCAAATGACTCAGTGACAAGTGTATTTTCTCTTTATTAAGTCAACACACTTTATACATTCTTCGTTTTTTTTTGCAAAAGTTTGTCCATTTTTCAAAATTAAATCCTTTAGTAATCTGTTAACAATTTATTTAAAGCTTATTGGATGTTGAAATAGAATCAAGTCCCCTAAGTAGGTCACGATTTATCGATACATTCGAGGTTATTTTATTCGCAAGAAAATTTGTCATAAATCTTAAATATTATAAATAATTGTTTATTTTTTTTAATCTTTTTTTATTAAACAATAAATTATTCAAATAATGAGAGATAATAAAAACTAACAATTGTGATTCATGAAGAAAAAAAAACTTCTTTTGGATATATAATTGTCATGCAGAATAAAAAACAGTATAAAAAATAAAATTAGAGGTAGGGAAAAGTGGAGTAAAACAAAACACGAAGAAAACACGTAGAACAACAAATTATGCAATATATTAACAAATATTAATTATTTTTAATACGTAGATAAAATAAAAATTGATAAACAAAAAACGCAATAAGCATTTTTAAACGGATTTTAATAGATTAATAAATTTTATCGAGCATTTTACTTTGACCCTGCGTTCTACTTTATCCTCTTTGCCTCTACACCAAATTTTTTATCAAAAACTAATTTATATTAAATGTAATAAGAAAAGTGGAATATAATTTATCTGAATATCGTAATTTTTAATAAAATGTATAATTAATAAAAAGCCAATGATGATTGCATGCAAAAAAAATATTATTATTCAGTATTTAGATTACTTATGATACATATATGAAACATATATTTATTATTGTAAAAAATTCGAATTCTTATAAAAGAACTCCATAATCGTAGCGAATGTTTCCCTTCTGAGTTTTAGGATTGGCGGTAAACCTTTCGCTGACTTTAAACGATTCATCCAATGGTGATGGCTATAAAGCGATTATATCTTGAGCTCGACTGATCATTCATGCTAATTTTCATAACTATAGCCCTTGCACCAATAGGCTTCTTCGTTTGATGTAAGCATAAACGAAATGTCCTCAGTTAGGGAGGTCTAAGATCCTTTTAAAAAATAAAAAAAATCATGACCGAAGTCGATTATGAAAGAGGCGAATGAAGCTCATCTACAATGGGTGGAACGATCATAAAAATATAAGCTGACGAAAATCAGAAGAAACGATAAGAATTCAATCCAAATAGTTAATTGAATTAAAAAATTTATTAATTAGTTATTTTTATTTTTAAAATTATTATTAAACCAATATGTTTAATCCACTTATTGCATGTTAAAATAATCTTTAATATTGATCTTTTTTATTAATTTATATAAGATATATTGCATAAATCAACTAGTTAAATAAAAATATGTAAAATGATTTTTGACAAATCGCGAATAATCCTTGACTAATTCGATAAATTTTTATTCGTGAATGAAAATAATTATTGTTGAGTGAAAAAATTATTAACTGTACGAAACTTAAGATAAAGATATTTATAAAATACAATGACAATTGATAAACGTAATAAAAATTTATTATTAATTAATTTAATATTAATAACGGACGTAAAATAATTATTAAAGATGAGCAAAAGTCTTTGGCCTCTCTCTTTGTTCATACTCGAACTCGGGTATTAATTTGAAGATGAGACGGAACCAAAACAACGTGAAAGACCATCTATGAGATGAGAAAATAATAATAAAGTGGAAATGAGGAGAGCCCGTCCATAAATTGCTGCGCTCCTTGTTAATGGTCTGGAGCCCGGGGGCGACCTCGACTAAACGCGCAGCCTGTTCTGACCCTGCTGCTTCTCTCTTATCTTTTTCTTTCTTTTTCCATCATTCTCTCGATGCCTCGCCCTCGGCTGCGTCTCGTCCAGCCGGCACTCGACTAAATCTGGTTGAACTTGTTCAGGACGCGCCTGGAAGTCTCGTTTCTGCATCTAATGGACGTCTAGCGATGGCCACTGCTGCTAAAAGAGAACTACATACAGACAGGAAACAAAGGCAATGTGTGGGATATCTGAATGATTTGCGACCAACTGTATGGTCCTTTACATGTGAATTGTGTCCATTTTAGCCCACGTTTCATTTACTCAAATATTTCAAGTCCGTAAATATCCAGTTTCTTACTAAAAATATTTTTTATTTTTTTATCTTCAAAAGTCTCATTTTGAAAATTTATTTTCACCTAGACTATTTTTCTGTATTACCAAAGATTAATAAATAATCAAATTTCAGGCAACTATTTGTTTTATATTAAATCAATGCATCATGTTTCAGAAGTGTAATAATAAAATTATGTGAACTTTCATTTCTAATTAAAATAATTAATGATAAAACTTCATCATTAATAATACTGACTGTTTATTTATTTATACATTATTTTTATTAATATCGATTTATTCTTTCAAAACATCTTTCTGACATTTAAAATAGGTTTTTGAGGTAACATATTTAAATTTAATTTTAGTTATAATAATTTCTACGGAGGTCAGTACTTACTACGAAGTACATGAAGAGACATCTAGATAAATAAAAATCAACTAATAACCACAGTCGTTAAATGCAGCTTCTGTATTGACCAACTATATTGATTGTTGGTAAAGAAGTGATTCCAACTTATCAATTGTAATTAGTTGTTGTATTTGGTTTTGTGAACAATTATTTGATCAGCGCCATTATCTGTTTCCAGTATATTATATACTTTCTATACAGCCATATGTGAACTTTCACTAAAAAAACTTAGAGTCAAAAAACAATATACTTCTCTTAGAATGTTTTAAATATCCAATGGCTAAACGTATCCTAGAAATTTATCCAATCGTGATAAACATACATTAGTCAGTCAATAGTTGGATTGGCGGTACACACGAGTGTTGTCTAAGTGAAATAGCATTTCGAACATTTCCGTGTAATGTAGCTTAGTAATAACAAATTGTAAGTATTGAATCGTCATACTTATATCAATACCCATTATTCCATTGGAAAGTGTCAAAAATGGAAATTTTGTGATTTTTATGTTTTAATAACTATTGAGTAGTTATTTTACTGAATTAATAGGTTAGTATGAAACGGAGTGTCTATGATATGTCGACGATTGCGACCATTTCATTGTAAACGTGAAATAAATATAGACAATAACTGATCAAAATTTTTATCTATTGCTGTTTATCAGTGTTCTAATATTTATATATAAAAATTATTAGACTCATTTGAAATGATATTGCGTGTCTTCAGAAGCCTACAATATGCAATTTTTGTTAGTATGTGTTAAAATGTTGATTACATATATCATTACTAACACGTATGACAATTCTGTTATGATTCTGATGAGTTAATTATGGTGATCTTCAAAACTGCTTTAGATAAATGTAAATAATTTGTTATTAACTTTTATAATTTAGAGCTCATTATTTTTTCAAAAGTATGAAACGATTGCTATTTATTTTTAGGAATACCTATAAACTCTACTTGCAAATACTCAACAAAATGTCATGAACAGTATTGACTTGTACAAGCAGATGAGTAATAACATTATTGATATGCGATGAGTGGTGGTGGATTCCGAGGACGCGGATTCGGACCACATGGGCCAAGATTTAATAGCCCAATATCAGGAGGACGAAATGATGGTTCAAGAAATGGGCCGAGACATAGAGGAAATTATTCAAGAGGAAATTATAGCAACCCACCACAATCATTTTCATCACAATCAGGACAAAGTAGAAGAGGTGATCAACAGCAAGAAAACTGGCCTCAAAACCGATCATTGTCACGATGGGAGCAGCCACATGGTCTTCAGGGTAATAATCAACCACCAACTTGGTCTCACAATCGCGGGGAACCTTTTCAAAATTCATCTGTAAGATTTCAATATCACAATAATGCATCTTATCATTCACGAAGTGGAAGAGGCCACTTCAGAAGTAATAGTGGTGGAGGAGGTAATTTCAGATTTACTGAGCATAGAGGATCAAATAATTACTATAATCCACCATATTATAATACTCCATATAAAGAAAACACGTTTCATCAACAAGAACAAAATATAATCCCTAATGAACCAGTTCCCCCTCTACTTGGCTCAGAGGAAGAACGTCAGCAAAAGATAACGGAAGCAGCTGACGAATTAAAAAGAAAACTTTTAACCAATCGAGCTATACCTGAAGAAGAATCAAACTGGTATGAAGATTTTAATATTGATAGCATGACCGCTGCGGATAAAGAAGCAAATACTATTAAGGCAATTCCGGAGTTAAAACATGGTCCACCTGAACTAAAGTTAACTTTAAATGATTTAAAGGATATTGGCCGAGTAGATATTGATAATACAATCGATCCTTCTGCAACAGAACCAAATTTAATTATTGAACCTTATGATGAAAGTGCTGAAACAAATAGTATCCAACATGATAGCAATGATAATAATGAAGAAACACAACAACTACCGTTGATTACTCTTGAATATTCTAGTGAATCTATAGACCTTGATATTGATGATGGGACTAAAAAGTCGATAAAAAAATCAAAACGAAATTCTAAAGTTAGGTTGAAAAATGCAGAAAAAACAGTCACTGAACATCAAATAACTGGAGATGCTATTTTCAATAGTTCAAAAGAAATTATTCAAGCTTCAAGTGTAATTGAAACGGAAGATAAAAATAAAAAATATGTGAATGTAGAAGATATTTCATTAAATGCAATCGATGACGAATCAGTCATTAATATTAATCAAAGTAATATGATGAGAAGTACTTCGATTGATAGCCTATCGAATTCTCAATCATCTACCGTCCAAAATTCATTAGATTCTTTTTCAATCATGACTGCTGAATCTGTAGAATGTATCTCAAAAAGTTCTCTCCAAAAATCCAATCCAAAGAATATTTTGTCACCAAATACATTAAAGACAAATGAAAGTCTATCAGAAACGTCAGAACATGATAAATCAGAAAAACAAATTCATCAAAACTGTCAAAAACAAGAAACCAAAAATACAAAAAGTGAAAAAATTCATATCATTAGTGCTTATAATAAAAGGAAGATGAAAAAAGAAAGTTCAAAACCTCCACTTGATTTCGATCCAAGAAAACCACCTCCTCATGTCAATCAATCGTTTACGACAAATGAAGAAATTTTACAACCTCCACCGGCATTTGATCCACGACGAAATTTATCAACCATTATACCTGACTTTGATCCTCAAATGCCACCTCCAATTCTTAACAATCAAACAGATACAATCAAGTCGTTTAATACTCATCTCCCTCCAATGCCTTCTATTATTCCATCTGCACCTGCCACCGGTGTTCCCATTAATATGCCATCTACTATGCCTGGTTATGGACACCCAGGTTACAATCCAATGGTACCATATGTTCCAGCCGTTCCGATGCCGTATTCACAAGTAATTGCACCTGTGGAATATTCACTGACCCAAATGTCTCAACCACCATTACCGCCTTCGACAGTAAATGATTCTTTATCAGTTGAAAGAGTCACAAATAAGTCTGAAACTAATGGTGATCCTAATTTGAGTGTTGATGATGTTCTTGGTGAAATGAAAGAAGCTATGGAATTTGCTAAACAATGTATGGTTATGGGAGAGGATGAAGATGTTATTAACTTTCCAACGCTGCCTAATTTACCTCCACTCCCAAAATTTGGAGAGCATAACAAAGATAAACCTACTACCAAACCGAAGAAAACAAAAAAATCTAAACAGGAGACGTGTTATGGGCCACACCCGAAACCCGATTCAGAAAATATACAAGAAACCAGTAGAGAACAGACTTTAGCTTCAATAAGATTGCCAGAAGAAAACAGTACATTATCATTAGAAAAGAAAAGTAAAACATCCGAAATCAATTATAAAATCACAGATGAAAAAAATACATTAGTTGAAGAAACAAATAAAAGCATTGAAGAAAAAGTTAAATGTTATTTAGAAGAAAGCCCAGCAGATGATCTCGGACGTCGTAAAGTGATGTTTAATTTAAGTTCGAAATTTAAAAAATTAAATAAGACTGAAGAATGGATGAATGAAGCAATGGAGGAAGAGAATAAGCAGAAAAATAGAAAATTGAAAATACTCTCATCACCTGCTGTTGCTGTTGTTGCTCCTACGACAATGACTAGTACACTAATAGTTGAAACAAAACAAAATAATCATACTAGTCAAGAAAAAATAAGTTCAAAATTAATAAAAGATAGTTCTTCCAGTGAAAATAGTCATCAAAAGGATAAAGATTCAATACAAACTAAGAATAAAAATAAAGAAAAAGAATCAGAGAAACGAGAGAGTAAGAAATATAGTGATAAAATTGATACTTACGAAGATATTCAAAGAAAGACCAGAAAAAGCAGCAGAGCACAACTGACATCTGGTTCAAAATCAGAAAAAAACGATACTAACAATGAATTTATCGCTGAGAAAATCAGCGAAGCAAAAACATATACACACAAACTATCTGCAAAGAAAATAACACCTGCTTTGACTGAGTCTTCTTGGAAGAATCGCGTAATTACACGTTTTTTAAAGATGAGTAAAAATGATATTCAAAATATGATAAATAATTCAAGTCTTCGTAAATTCGACATTGCCATGCAACACCTCGTTAAAGAAAAGAAATCATCTCTGTCTTTAGAAATGAGACTCAATGAACATGAAAAAATGAAAAACAGTAGTAATTATAATAATGAAGATTTTATGAGTCAATTACAGGCTATTCTCGATCCAGCAGCAACAGTTGACATTACCAATTTACCAACGACTTTTCTACATCAATTAAGTGAGGTATTACATTTAGATCCATTGCCTACTGATCTAGAAGATTCATCAGACAAATCGGAACCGCAGATTTCACTTAATCAAGATTTGTTATCATTAAAAATGGATAAACCCGTGTCCATAGACTCGTCACAATATCCTGAGACCAATACACCTGCTTCTTCAACTCATGAAATGTCTAAACCAAGGAAGATCGATAAACAGAGTATAGACATGACAAAATACACATCGACTATGGACACTAGCACACATTTTCGGACTCGGAACAAACGCAATGAGGTTGATACCAGCGTTCAACGATCGGCCACAAGTAGTACCGTAACTCCAATACAGTCAGCTTCTACCATAGATAACTTGAATATGGATGACCTAGATGATATATTTGTAGCTGGTATACGAGCCAAAGCTAAGTCTACTTTGCAGTCTTTAATCAACAGTCCTATAACTACCAATGAGCGAATTTCAACAACAATGCCTGTAAAAAAAATTGAATTGACGTATACCGAAAGTGATAAAATACCTACTGCAGAATTAGATGAAATTTTTTCTCCTGTTCTAGCTAAGACTAAAACATTTTCACTGAAAACTACTGCATCAACTAACATGGAAACACTTGAACGAGAACAATCACATATGTCACACCGAGAATCGCATAGTAATAGCAGTGTTATAAGTTCATGGAAAAGAAAGGGCATTGACGACCCTGATAATTTTCGCAATTTAACTAAAGAAGAGTATGAAGCACGGTATGGAGATTTTTCTCATATTTCAAATGAAGATGAAAATAGGACGATAACACATAAAACTCAAAAAATGATTCTCAATGGCCGAGAAATTATAACATACTCAACTCAGTCAAATAAAAATTATACATCATATACTCCACCAGATGGACAAAATAATAATCTTACAGAAAGTGAAAATGAAAGTGTTAGTGGACTTGAATCGGATAGTTCAAGTAGCTCTAGTTCAGTTAGTGATGAAGAATCTTTAGATGTATCCAAAGTTTTACGATTTATAAAAGAACGTGAAAAAATTGCAAAAAAGAAAAGTATTAATGAAGAAATACGAGATGAAGTGAGTGCAGAAATAGAAAAGAAACGTAGAGAAAAAAATGCAAAACACAGGTCACATAAATCGCGATCGAAAAAGAAAGAGAGAAGAAAAAAAGAGAAAGACCGAAAAGGAAGAAAAAAGAAACCAAAGAAGAAGCGTAAACGTAGACATCATTCACCGTTATCTAATATTAGTGAAAATGAAAATGCGGAACGGCCTTTGTGGTTGTTAAGAGAAAATGAAATTAAAAAAGAACCAACTGAAGAAATTTTAAAAGAAGAAGAAGATGAAAATGAATCAGATAATCATATTATACATTCAAAAACTACTTTAATTACTCAAACATCTATGACGACCTCAGAAAGTATAAAAAATATTGGTCCAAAAGTTGGTACAACAATACAAACTTCTACTGTAGTTTCACCCCAACAATCATCAATAGTCAATCCAATTGTCACTAATTCAGTGATATCGAACATAAAAATTTCTCCAGCATCACCATCACCAACTTTTTCATCAAGAACTAATAAAACGTCATGCCCTTCAAATTTGCGTTCATCTCAATCCCCTGTACCACATACGAAGACAAAAGCTCAGTTAAAGCAAATGCCAGAAGTGCTTACAAAAACAAAAACTGATCAACCAACATCAATAGAGACTCAACTCTTTACTGAAAAGGAGTCTATCAACAATCAAATATGTGTTCAAAAAACTAATTTGACGACTGAACAATCATCAAAAATTATTCCAATAACAACAGAGAAAATTACAACATCGACAGCTTCTGGGCCACGGAAACTTGACATTAAACAATACCAAGAGCGTGCTCATCGACGAAAGCTTCAAGAACAAGAGAAAGGAAGAGCTATCGCAGAAAATCCAACTGTTTTGACACAAGATTTATTAAAACTTCCAACAATAAATAAATGTCCAACTGCAAGTGAAAATCAATTGAGTTTAATAACATCTTCAGAACCTTCTAAATCTACTACCAATCTACCTATTAATACCACAAGTACTCCCGAAGCTGAAGAAATTGAAAAAATTGTTCAGAAAATTCCTCGTAACACAACATCTATCTGCAAAACTGAAGAGAAATCTTTGACTGAAACTTCTAAAATTTCTAACATTCCAGTTTGTACTAAATTAACACAAACATCAACATCTACTTCAATGTTAAAAACTTCAAAAGATAAAAATATTGAGGAAAGTAAATTTGCTAATATAAAATCTGAGGGTAGTAAGGAAATGAAACTTAAAGAAAAATTGAAGAGAAAGCCTGTAAAACCTGTCATTACTAATATCGCAGTTTTAAAGAATAACCCGCTATCTTCTCAAAATAAAAAATCAAAAATTGGTCCAAAGTCGTCAATGTCTGTTAAAACTTTGAATATGGGCGAAAAAAAAATAAAAACTTCAGAAAGTTTTCACACAACTGCCCAAAGTGTGCTATTGTCTTCAGCTTCTAGTAACACCAATATTTTAAACGAAAAGAAGGCATCTATAAATATTGAAATCGACCAGCAGAATAAACTTAAACAAAAAATGAGTAAATTAGAAGAAGGAAAAGATATAAGCATAAAAGAACTAAGTGTATCTCAAGTCAATTTAGCTGAAGAATTGTGTGAAGTGCCAAAAGAAATAGTTTTAAAAGATAAATCAACTTTATGCAAAAAAATCCATACTCATGGTAAAATGGCACAAAAATTTTTCCATTATTTTACTTCATCGAAACAAATTCAGAGTGATGGATTTCCTGATACGGTAACATTTGAAATAATGGAAACCAACAAACAATATATTCCTATAAAAAATTTCAATGATGAATCAACGTTATCATCAAATAAAACAAATGAAAATCTTGAGAAAACAATTCATGAAAATACGACAGATTTGAATGAACTATCGAATCCAGTACTAAATAAGGAAATGAAAGAGGAAATTGATGAGTCGAGCATTTGTAGTGAAGTTCAACCGATTTCAATCAATTTACAGTTTGAAAAAGATAATGGGAATGGAGATATGTTACTTTTGGTAAGTAATCGAAAAAAAAATTCAATTGATGCAGAAAATATTACAGAAGAAACAAGTATAGAAAAACCATTCAAATCTGATGACTGTTCAGTTAAAGAAGTAGCTCTTATAAATATGCCAATGAATAAATTAGAAACTATTGAAATACAATCGGTAATAAAAGAAAAAGAAAACGAAATAAAAAAAGAAGAGTTACTATTGTCCGAAAAAGAAGAAAATCTATCAATTTCTCATCTCCAAGAGTTAGAAAAACTTTCATCAACTTTATCCAATAATTCTGAAGATCGTTTGAGCGAAGATATTTCAGAATGTAGTACTTTAGTGCCTTCTGAAGAAATTAAAATTATAAATACATTGGAAAGAATTACAACAGAGGAATTTGTAAATATTTCTGATGGTGAATTGATAGATGATAAAGTATTTTCTGAAAATCCACTACCAGAAATAAATTCTCTATCAGAATCACCAGGTGAAGCTAAAAAAGACTTAACTTTAAGAGAGTCAGAGCTTTTGTCTAAAACATCAGAAAATAGTGAGATATTGTCTTCTGAAACTAATGATTGGAATGTTAGTGGTACGAAAAATGAAGATGAAATTGACTTAATACCGGAAGAGATAATTGATCAGTCTCCTCATGAACAAGAATTAGAATCGTCTTTACTTAGAGTTCAAACACTAAATACTTATGAATCAGAAGATATTGAAACGCCATTTTCTTCAAAATCTGTGGTGCTTCATGATAAAGTATTAGCTGCAGATAATGTCAGAAATTCATTTTTAGATGATCCAATTACATTTTCAAATACAAAATCTCCAACTTCTGAAACAATGGAATTCGAAATTTTAAATGACGCTGATATAGTGGGATCAATTTACAATAATCAATTAGATGAAACTTCACCTATTGATAGTATAGAAGATGTTCCAGCTGATGAACCATTTGGAGAAGATGAAGGAGTAAATACTTTAACACTTCCAGCTTTAGAAAGTCCTTGTTTGCCACCAGAAACTGATGATAGTTTTATTTTAAGTCAAAATTCATCTAAACAAATAAAAGACACAGATTTTCCAGACAAAGAATTAATGAAAGAAATTGAAGGGACATCACCAGAACGTTTACCATCTCCAATTCTTCAACTTTCGTCTAAATTATCTGATAATGATGATGATGATGATGATAATAATAATAATAATGCTGATAACGATATTAGCAATGATAAAAATCATGATGATGACAACTCTAGAGAAAACGTTGCTACAATTATTAGCACTACTAGGTTCACAGAGGGCGTAATAAATACAGAAAATAATTACCCAGAATCCACGGGGCCAACTGAACATCACATTGAACCAACTTCAGACGTTTTAAAAAATAATTCCTTAACGGTCGACATTAGTATTGATAAAGATATTGAATTAAATTCTTTCAACGAAAAATCTAATAAAAAGTTTCCTGAACGAGATAAAATAGAGGAAAGCTTAGAAGAAATTCTATCAGGAAAGCCTTCGAAATATGCACAAATGTCTCCAACTATTGAGGAAAATATTTTAAACATTGTGGACCACGTACAAACAGAAGGTAACATAAACTATGAACCTATATCAGGTAGTACAGAAAATACGCAAATGTTTCCAGAAATATCAACTTCATCAATTCAATCTCACACCTCAAAGAAGCAAGAAAAGTATTCGTCAAAAGATGATTCATCGAGAAAAAGCAGAAGTAAATCACGTACACCTCCCCGAGATCTGAAAAAAAATAAAAAACGTCATCATCATCGAAAGAAATCTAAACTGTCAGCAGAAAAAGTTGAAGAAGCGATAACGGCGAATATTACTAAACCTATATTAGTTACAAAAGATTCTGTTATGATGAGAATGCAGGAGATTGATTTAGCTATTCAGAAACTTATGGATGAGAAAATGGCTCTCTATCAAATGTTAAAAGATGATAAATGGCCATCTGTTCAAACTGAAGAGCATCCAATATTGACTGAGCCGAAAACACCTAAAGTGAAATCTCATTTATCTACATCATTAACTGACAAGCTGGCTGTAAAGACACCGCGGGTTGTTGTATCAAGATTGGCAGAAAGCGATATGAAGCAAGCATCAACATCATCAGTCGTTGAACTTCTTCAATCTAAACCTGAGTATTCTAGTACCCCAAAACACGAAAGTTTGTTATTAAATAAATTTTCTAAAACTGAAGAGAAAAATAATAAAATATTAAGTTTAAATAATACTGCAATATCTAAAATGCCGAAAAAAAGAAAACACAAGGAAGACAGAGGCCATAATAAAAATAAAAATTTAAAAACAGATGGATCTCCAGAAGCTAAACGACAAATGAATTCACAAGAATATCTTCATAAACATAAAAAATCATCAATAGCTGCTAAAAACATCAGAGAATCATCTCGTAAACCATTCAAATTATCACAGTTATTGACAACTTTTAAACCAAAAACATCTATAGAGAAAAGAAGATCTACAAGTCCAAAAGAATTACAGCGAATTCAGAAATCTTCATCAATAAGTATTGAAAAAAATGTAAATGTTAGTCAAGATCTTACAAAATTATTGAAAAAAAATGATTTAAATAGTTCAGAAGAAGCAAATAAAGAGAGTGGTTGTAATGGAAAGAATAAATTATCTGTCGATAATGATAAAAATAATGAAAATGAACATTTTGAACTATCTAAAAAGCAGAGTCAAGAAAATTTTAATATTTCTGAAGATGTTCCCAATCTAATTTATTCTGATGACAGTACTTGGGATCATATAGATAGCTTCCATGAAAAATCCGAAAGATCTACTGGTTTACTTCTACTAGAAGAAAGTATGAAACGTGAGAAAGCAGCTAAAAAATCAAAGTATCTGACGTCAAAAAAGAAAATATCAAATTCAAATACAAAAGAAGATTTAGTATCTTCTGATCTCGATGATACAATGCCTCTTATTTATGTCATTTCTAAAAAAAAATTGAAAAAGAAACAGTCAATGCTTAATAAAAAACTTAACAAAAGCAGCAATAATGAAGAAACTCCAAGAATTGATCATACAGAAGAAATTATTGATGCTGTAGCAACAAATCGAGTTCATGATTTGTACGATAATTCTATTTCTAAAGATAATGAGCAATGCAGATTTGAAAAAGAATCTAATAATCAACTGTTAACAACAATTGAAAAATTAGATGATTCAAATATGGAAGAGACTAGAGAAACTTCAAATAAAATAGAAACAAGAACCGAAGTGGTAGAAAGTCAAATCATAGAAGGAAGCACTGAAACAGATAATAGTAAGAAAAACTACTTAGATACAGAGATAAGAGAGAAAGAAGATTTTCATCCGAAAACACCAGACTTTGTTGAGCCACTTCAAATAACAGAACAAAATACTGAAGAACATTGTGAAAATGAAAATAACCCAAATGAGGAAGAATGGACTACGTTAGATTCTGTTGGGTTTATTGATGAAAAAGATGACGGTCTTGATGATATTTCCGATGATAGATTGGAGATACATACGAGTTTCGAAGAAGAAAATAGCAACATAAGTTCTACAGATATTCTTGAAAAAGGACAAGAAGAATCAGCGACACTAGTAAGATCATCTTCACCAATTGAAGAAGATAACATTAATAATACACAATCTGATGCAAAAATGAATAATTATGAAAAAAATCAAAAGATATCAGAAATACAATCAACAATACTACAAGACTGGGCAGAATCTCCATCACATTCCAGTCGCTATGATAATGACATTAATTTGGAAATGAAAAAATCTAGATTTGATTTAAATCAAATTACTACTCGAGAATCACCATTAATGGTAAATGCCAATGAGGAGACAAAAATTTTTAATGTCGAAGAAAATAATAAAGAATCAGAAATAGATGATACAAGTGTGAATGATAGTCAAAGACTTTTAGAATTAAAAGAATCGACAACTACAAAAAATAAAAAGAAAAGTGATGATAAAGTCGAAGAAGAGAATAAAGAAGAAGAAAATACAATAAATCAAGATGAAGAAGAAAACTTAAAGAAAAGGAAAAGTTCATTAGAAAGAGAAATTGAACGACCAACGTCAATAGTAAAAGAACTTGAAAAATATGGACATTCATTCTGTGAACCTGTAAGATCTAAATCTGCTGTGCAAGAATTAGAAAAATCTGAGTATTCAATAAAAGAAACAAACAATAAACGACCGAAATCTGCAACGAAAGAAATTGAAAGACCAAAATCTATAATAAAAACAAGTGAAAAATTCATATGTATAATTGAAGAAACTAAGAGCTTAAAATCTGCTGTAAAAGAAATTGAGACTCCAAGCTCTACAGTGAATGAAAATGATAGATCGAAATTTATAGTGAAAGATTTAGAAGTTCCAAAGAATGTACCTAAAGATGTTGAGCTGGAAAAATCAACAATAAGAGATTCTGAAAAAATAAAATTAACACGAAAAGAAATAAAAAAAATTACTGAAGAAAAAGAAGCATCAATTGAAGAAAATGTTGAAAATGAAGAAATTTTGAAGAAAAAACGAGAAAAAATAAAAACTAAATCGAAAGTTATGGATGACGAAGAATCATCAGTTGAAAAAGACATTGACAATGATGAAGTTTCAAAGAAAAAACGAGAGAAAAGTAATAAAAATAAAAATCTTCTAGCAAGTCGAAGAAGTTCACGAAGTTCTAGACAATCAGACGATAGTAACAGAACATCTAGAAGTCGTTCACGATCTACAAGAGTAGAAAAATCACCTAGTTCTCGAGATACTTCTCCTCCTGAAATGGACTTAAAGAGTAGACCAACTTCAGGCAGCTCTTCAAGCTCCTCTGTAAATAGTAGAAAAAAATCTACCACAAATTCAAGAAGTAGAGAAACTACTAAAATAGATAGTAGATCAACTCGACGGAAAAGAAAACAGAAAAGGCTCGGTGATTCAGACATTAACTTAATGAGAAAATGTAAAGTAAGGTTAATAGATTGTAAACAAATATATCGTGAACCCAGCCTTTATTCGAGTTTTCTTAAATCGCATGGATTGTCAAGAATTAATAATTGGATGTTACAAGAAATTATACCTCGACAAGAAACGCCTCCAAGAGAGTCTAAGAGACCTTCTATTAGTGATGAAGATAAAAATCATAGTGACGATGACTCAATGGAACTCATTCAAGTTGAAGAAGTTGATGATCTTCAAACTATGGATACTCTAGATTCTTTAGCAGATGATAGTATTCAAGATTCCAGAGATCAGAATGACAACAATTCTTCAATAAGTTCAGAATTTGCAGAGTCACCACAAAACGTCGATATTGCGGAATCAGACTTTGATGAGTATCGTGATAATGATGAAGAACCTGAAATTTTGGAATCAGACATTGAAATTTTAGAAAAACAATCTCCAGCAACAAATGCTTCCAATCTTATTTATTCAAAAGACATTGAAAGTGAAGAACCTCGTAGGACACAGTATACTGTTCACAAAGGACCGATTCTTGATATTAAGGTAAAGCTCACTCGGTTAACCGATAGCGATTTAAAAATAAAAAAATATTCAAATTAATTGATAGATTTTATATTTTGTTTGCTTAATAATGTTATTATTTCGTTTTCTTTATTAACATTTTATTCAAACGTTTGTTATAAATATATTGTTATGTTTAAACGTGAACATACCACAATTATAAATAATCATTTGTACTTACTGCGTAATAAGTATTATTTTTTATGATTTATCGGTTCATTAATAATACTTTTTCATTTGATTTTATAATAATTTCTATCATAAATAAAGTCAATTGACTTTATGACAACAAAATTACTGCTTTCTCATTACACCTTTTATTTACACACTTACACTAACTTCATAGCTCAGTCAAACAAATGGATAATAAACGATATAATAAACAAAATTGGTGCTTTTGTGGTATACTGAAAAAAAATTTTTTTTTTTTTCAATTAATATAAATACTTTATATTGGGGTTTTTTTATGGCAAATATTAATTTTTTATGCAATGCAAAAATATGAAGAAATTGGCTTATTGAATCTGAACTGCATGAAAAGAAAATTGGAAAATCAAAAATGATAAAATGGCGACAAATTACTTTCAATGGTATTTTCTTTTTTAAAAATCATTATGCTATTCAAACTTGATCAAAAGCTTTCATATTTTTTTACGTTTGTAACTAATACAGAGTGATTGAAATTTTAAGTCTTTTTTTGAGTTAACAATAACCAAGTCTTACACTTCATAAATTTTTTTCACACTTAGAGGTTTCAAAAGGTTTAAGAAGGACTCATCAATCGCAACCTTAGCACCTTGTTACTTTACTCGTTGTTCCTTTGTTGTCTAAACTATTTACCTTGATAGGGGGTTCTCTTTTAGGTCTTTGGTGATTCCTTTTTAGCAGCCAGTGAAGACGGAGCAATATATAGATATAGTCAAAGGTCCAATGGTATATTAAATATCTATAAAGGTCATGATGCAGCAGTTACTTGTTTATATATTCATGAAGTTCCTGGAACAGCTGAAAGTGGAAATACAAGATGGAATTTGTTTTCTGGTTCTCTCGATGCAACCTTAAGATGTTACGATGTTATAAATGGGTCATTAGATCGTCATATATCTGAAATTGGAAGTCCTATTCAATGTATGGATCAAGCTTGGGGAAATATTTTTATTGGAACCAAGTCAGGTCACATTTCTCGATATGATATTAAATCTGGCTGTTTGAGAGAAGATAAATTAGACTTTTCTGATAAACCAATACTTGCACTTCGAGCTTCAACTGAAGGACCGCGAAAAATTCTGATTGTTGCTTCTCGTAATCAACCTATCACTATTAGGGATGCACAAAATGGATTATTTCTACGTACAATATCTGGTCAGAGAAATCATACTGTCTATAGTTTGTTGATGGATAAGAATCTTGTTTATTGCGGGACCAGTAACACTTCGATTCCAGTCTTTGATTTTATTGTAAGTAAAAGTTTATTTTTGTATAATTACATTAAATTTTTTGTAGGTTAAACTAAAAATTAACAATCTATTTTATGACTTTATAGAGTGGAGAACAAGTTGCTCAGTACACTGCCGGTGTTGGTATTGTTTGCATGCGACTTTATAAACAATTGTTGTTTGCCGGTTGCTATGATGGGAATATATATGTCTTCGATACAAATGTGAGTAAACACGAATATGAAATTTTTTTTTCAATAATACGATGTTTAAATTATACATTTTCAATCAATATTTACATTATTTAGGATCTAAAATTGATATGCAGTATCCCTGGGCCTGGCAATATGCTATTGAGTTTAGAAATTGTAAATGATGAAGTATGTATACATAATGACATTAATATTTATAATTTATAAGAAAAATCAAAGTATCTATTAGCAAATAATAAGATATTTAATGATATTTGTTATTTTATCAGATCATAGCCGGTAGCAAAGACAGGCGTCTACATGCATGGAGAATGCCTAATCAGATAAGAAATATGATCACTGATCGAACGTGAAATTAATTGAATGCTCCCATCAAAGTGCCTGGAACATCTAGTCAAAAATAATATTATAAAATTTGTTCTTTTATAAATGCAATCGAAGACAATATCCCGCATAAGAGCGACAAAATATTTCAAGTATAACATTGTACATATAATATATACTATTGCACATAGTAACATTTTAAACTTTGTACAAAAATACTGTAAAAAGTTTCTCAAAAAATTTTAATATTTTAGGACAATTTATTATCAACATGTAGTTGATGCAGTATTTATGTTATGCATAATTTAAATTAATTCAATTTTTTTTAAACTTATTGATTTTTACATAATTGATTCTATATATACATACATATTTATGTGCATTAATTGATTATATATAAAAGAATAATTAAATAATTCTATCAAAATAATCCCTAATAGAGTTATGATAATATAATATTCATAGTGTAAAAAGTTATTTCTGTTCATTATGAAAGTAGTGCAAATCTAATTAGAAATGAATAATTATAATTAGTGAGATATTTATTGAATTATTATGTTAATTTTATTTTGGGAAAGAATTTTTTCTTTACTTTTATAATACTGAAAATTGACAACACAACATCTTAATATCATCTGATTGTTAATATACGTATACCACTATTAGTTGTTTGATCGATTTTAAGTATCTTCTATATCCCTTTCATAATAATCTTTTTATTTTCGTAAACCAAATATATGTAAATAGCTCTATATTGATTTATTAAATTAATTATTTAAGTATGTGTTTGTGTCTTGGTCCTACAAAATCTGGTAAAACTTTGTTAATGAAAAAACTTCAAGGAAATGAAGCAATTGATGATGCATCACATACAGTTCCTACAAATGGAATTAATCTTTTTACAATACGTAGTAAAGATGGACATTTCGACATGATCGTAAGGGAAATAGGCGGTAGCATGGCTCCCATTTGGAAACATTATTTTGAGAGGGTAATTTTTATTAAAGCTATATGTCAATACCAAAATTTTTAACAATATTATCTGACACTTTTTATGTATCTAAATTTATCACATACTTCTAAAAAATACAAGTCATGATTTGATATATTCTGATATTAATAATTATTTTTGTAAATGGCCTAAAAATTTATCAAACTATTGACAATTATTAACTAGTTCTGATGATACTAAAAATAGTATAATTATAATTTAATATAATCATTTATTATTTAGCTGTCTAATCGTATAAGATTGTTTCAAATTCTTAACAATATTAAAAATAATTCTTAAAATAAATATTGAAGAATTGTATATTATTATATGCAAAAATCTGCAGGTTTATAAAATCATTTACGTCATAGATGCAAGTAATCTTTGTCAAATTAGTGCTACTGGAGTACTTTTCTATTCATTGTTAATTGAACCAAAACTTCAGCATATTAAAGTATGTTTTATACTTAGTAAAATGGATCTTTCATATCGTCAAATGAGAAATGAAGCTCTTCTAATGCTACACTTTAATCGATTAAAACGAGAAGTAAATCAAAAAATTACCGTCATCGAAGCTAGTGGAATGACAGGTCAAGGTATAGAAGAAATAAGAGACTGGTTATTTGATCCAGATACTTTGAAAGCTACAGGATCCACTGGTAATGCTGCTGCAGCTGCTTTAGCAAATGCTGCTATTGCCAAAAAGTGAATCATGTTCAATCAAATGTATTTATTATAATATAAATTAATTAGTTATTGAATACTGTGTAAATGATTTCCTTTTTTTTTATTTTATAATACAACTTAGAAAGGTATAAAGCTGATTTTAGAATAATTATTCTTTTTCATACAGCATGAGCTGTAATTTTTTTGCTCATCCTCAAGTTTACAAAGAGCGAACAAATATTTCAATATCACTTTTCGTCTTTCAAACATTTTTGTCATTATGACGGATTTTCTATTCTTTATCATTTTTTATGTAAATTCTATTTTTAAATGATTTTATATTAATTCATGGAACTGTAAAAAGTGTTCATTGCTTAAAAGTATTATATATAACAAAATTTTAAAAGAAGATTAATGTATCCTTGTTAGATCTTCAACTATTTTTACAAGATCGTCTACTGTAGCTTCTTTCTTCATACCACTCCCATCATCAACCTACAAATAATAATCAATCTGGTTATTTTTTATTAATTTAAAAAAAAAAATTTTTTTTAATTTGAAAATGTACAAAAGAAAAAATTTTTATCAACTACTTTTTCGAGTTTTTAGTGTCTAAAAAATAATCTGAAATTTCATCAAAAATGATCAAATAAATATTCAATAAATTAAATTTGAATAACATAAAATATAAAAACTTACCATAAGACTCATAGCAACTTCAGCCATTTTATCATGACTCAAATCTAAGAAGCTTTCAATTAAATCTCCATCAATAAAACCTTCACAAGCTTCGACTTTTAATTCAGTATTAAAACTTCGCCAAAAGCTGTGTTCAATTTTTCCAACGCTTTTAATTACTGAAGTAAGTCGGTCTTCTAGATTACGAAGAAATTCATAGAAAGGTGCAGGAATTTGTGTTACTAAACCAATAGCTCCACTGACAGTTCCAAAAAGTACACAACCTTGAGTTGGTGTACTAGATTCTCCTAAATGTTGCATAACTAAAGAACCATGTCTAAAAACATTTACCATGTCTCCAAGATGAAACTGTCCAACTTCTTGCATCTGTTGTCTCTCTTCTTCAGAGGCAGCTGCACTATCTTTTTGGCACACAAATAGATTAAAACAATTTTCAGCACCAAGAAAAGTGTCATCATCAAGAATTTCAATGGCAGTCATCCAGTTCGGATTATAATCTCTAGCAATTTCTTCAAAACTACCTTCCATAGTTTTATATTGGAGCAACGTAAAAGATCTCATTAAATCTCCAACTAATACAAAGTCTCCTTTTGTCTTTAAAAAAAGTGCAATTATATTATTGAAATGACTACATTCAAGTCTTAATTCTTTTTCAGCTGTCCATTCAAAGAGACGAACTGTACTGTTTATACTTGCAAGAAGTTTTCCATTGAATTCAACTAGTGAATAACAAGATCCTTTAATTTCTTTTTCAGCTACTTGTGTAAGTTTTCCATCACTCCAGTGATACAACAATATTCTTCCCATTTTCGGTTCTGTCTCATCAGGATTTACAAGAGCTGTACCAACTACAAAATAAGATGTTGGATCTTCTCCAAGTTTTGTAGAAATTAAAGATAGTGCATATTCATTAGGCATTAACGTATGAGCGTGTAGAACTTCAAAAGTATGTTGGTCGATGATTAATAGGTTATTTACTTCAATATCCTGACCTATTTCACTAGAAGTAGTATGACCTGGTTTATTATGTGATGAAACTTGACTGCTACTTGACGTAGAAGCAGCCTGGGTTGAAGCTGATGGTCTAACAATACTAACGCCATTATTTTCTTGAATATCAACACGCATTGTAATAACTCCAAATGTTTGAGAAGATTCCTGGTATGTGATACGTCTTGGAGATTCTCCTAGGGGTACGGTTCTAATATGAAGTTTCTGTATTTCATCAATAGTACCGATCGTTACAGTACTATCTGTTGCTAGTGCTAAACTGTCTGGATAAGACTCCGCATTTAATGAACACATATGATTAACTTCTTTTAGATTGACATTACTAAAAACTAATTTGTGGTTTGACGAATAAATGACAGTAGGACGATCACTGCAGGCAAAAACATTAGTAGTAGAGAGCGACCTAAATGTTCTTAAAACTGTCGGTTGAGTTCCAAGTGTAACTTTTTTCTTATCAGACAAATTTCCCGTATCTTTTTGAAGAGTAAAATAATACATACTTCCATCTCCAAGCGCGCAAAGTAAGTACGTATTTCCTTCGAAACAAGTCATCAAAACGGACCTTGGAATAATCTCTCCACCAAGTAATTCCTTATTTATTTCTTCTAAAGCAGGAAGAGTGAGAATTCTAATAGATATATCTGTCCATAAACCGACAGTGGCAATTTTGGCTTCATTACAGCCATCGAGAGGTGAAATATCTAGACATGCTACTTCATGTTGAAGTGTTGTGATACCTTTAGGTACAATTCTATTGTCAATTATTTCCATATAAAAAACATCATTTCCGGTAGCACAAAGTACTTGTTTTCCGTTGCATGCAACGACACTGATAGTTCGTTTATTTGTTGGTTCCCATTCAGAAACAACAGTTTTTGTTTCATTAGAAATCAACCTAGCAGATGTAGGAGTGATTTGAATAAATAAATCATCAGTTACATTGCCCGTATGAAAAGTCTGTTCATCAGCTACAAAGCCAGGAATTTCAGTTTCCTCAACTTCTTCACCATTTAATGTTAATATCCTTGTTTGTCCAACGAAAGCAACGATTAAAGTATTATCATAATTCCCTCCACCTACTTTAAGAGCCCACATGCCTTTAATTCCTGGTAAATCAATACTAGCATGTTCCTGAATACCAATACCATTTCTAATAATTCTTAAAGACCCTTCTTTAAAAGCTCCAGAGCAAGTAACCATTTGTCCTTGACCTTGACGTTCTAAATCTACAATTGCCATATCTACAATTGGTGCCAAATTTGTAAATGTCTCCATTGGTACACAATAAGATCCATTTTCATCAGCTTTCGTTATCAATTTAATAAGTTGGGAATCTCCCATACGACTTCCTACGAATATTACTCCATTATCTAAATATGTGATACACTCTGGTATACTCACTTCACCTAATAGCTCGACTTTTAAATCCTTCACAACTGTTGTCCCATCAGGTTTCTTTTCTTGTTCCAAAAACAACATAAACAAATGACCAGCTAAATCTCCCAATAAGTACCTAAGTCCTTGTGCATCAATTTTAGCGTAACAAGTGATAGTACTATATTTAATTATGGGTGGAACAACTGCAATATAAGTTGTTCCATCATGATATAAAATACTTTCTTGACCAATTATTATTGCTCCACATATTGGAGATGGAACTGGAATTACCATCATTGCTTCTCGTTCAACATTATCCTGCTTCCAAAGAGTTTTAACAAATTCTTTGTCTTTCAGTGAAATTTCATGTGTTTTTACATGACGACCATTAATATCTTGATGAATAATTATCAGTGTTGGATTAGCACATCCATATAAGAAATCTACATCTTGAACTAATTGTTCATCCATTCTAATCGAAGAGGCTTTCAATTCGGGGTTATCTTTATCAAGGGGAATTATTTTAAATAGTCCATCATAAAGTCTCAAACCAATGACTCTTGCTTTTGGATCAATTACTGCTTTTATTCCTGTTTCAGATGGTTTTCCTATTCTATCAGCTACATTTCCATGTGCTTTTGTAATTATTTCAATTTCTTCACCATCTCCAACACATTCTAAAATCATTGCATTATATCTATATGTAAGAAGAAATAATAAATCCTTCTTTTCGTGCTGAAAAGTGTAAATCAAAAAATTTTAGAGAAATTTAATAATTACGTTGTTAAATAAAAACGAAAGAAAATATAATATCTTACAGGAGGCCTGAAAAATTTTATCTCGGCAATTTTTCCATAAATGCCAACTTCTTTTAGTGGCCTTAATCCTTCTGGAGTAACAAGATAAATTTCTAGGCGCATATTTTTAGCAAGGATTAGATTAAGATCAGTAGGGGATGTAAAATTTCCTAAAATAATTATTTAAATGCATCATTCAATTTTTCGCATCGAATAATGATTGTTTTGTATTAAAAAATACTTTTTAGGTTATCATTGCTTAACTTACCGGTAACACAAGCGTTAACCGCCGTAGGTTTGTGTGCTGTTACTACATAATGATGAGCCATACTTTTCATAATATTTTATTACTCTTTAATGATTAAATATTGCTACTAATATCTCACAAAAAAAAATACAATTAACAAAACTTTTCTTTGGATTATTTGCAAATATAGGTGCTTTTCAATTCCATGTGCCATAAAGTTGGCCACAAGTTCACGTTGAAAAACCAAATTGGACTTCCAGAATTCAGCTGTAGAGTCATCTATTATATTATTCTTAAACTGTTATTGCTTGTACAAATAAAAGAGGGAGAGGGAATCTAAGAATACTGTCAGAGAAGAGAGACCAGTATAGAAGTCCAATGCTGTGTTAAAAATCCGGACGGAGTTTCGGTCAACATGTCGGTAATCTCAGTCACAACATAAAAGTTTCTGTGAACCCATCGAGCGATAGCGCTGTAACGGTTTATCTTAGCCACGCTCCTTAATCTAAGGGAGAAAAGAGAAAAGATTTGTGTTCTCTTTTACTCTCATTATAAGAATCCTAAACCAGTTTATTTTCAAGCACCAATTTTTAAATGGAAAAGGTCCGGCTCTGGTTGCAACATACATAGAAGCTATAAAACCAATTGATATTTTTGTAACAGCTCAGAGGTAACACACTCGACTACGAAAACTTAGGTTTTGTGTTCAAGCCTATCAATGTCATTTTTAACTTCCCATTAGGAAGTTATTGTAATTGGTTCGATTGGTGAAATTTGAATTTTCATTAAATCTCCACGTTTCAAGATATTTGCAAGCATACTGACATATTTTTAGAATGATGTGTGTATGTATGTATATATGTACGGACGTCAGCATTTTATTCGTTTTCAATATCTTAAGAACGGATCAAGATATCAACTTCAGCCAAAATTAATTCGAAAGATATTATTATAAAGAAGATGTGAAGGAAATTTAAACAAATTCGATGGAGCCGTTTTTTTAACTTCCCATTAGGAAGTTATTGTAATGGTCCGATTTGGCGACGCTGGAATTTTGACAGATCTCGATGTTTTAACATGTGAGGAGTTCATATCGATAGTTTTTAAGAAGATGTATGTATGTACGTACGTACGTACGTACGTACGTATGTACGTATGTGCGTTCGGGTTGCAAGTTATTTCTTTCGTTCACGGTTTCTCAAAAACTAATTAAGATATCCACTTCGGATCAATTGCATTCGATAAAGAATGTGACAAAGAACAGGTGAAAAGATTTTAAATAAAATTGGTCGATTAGTTTTTTTTTTTATGGGCAAAAAAAGAATTACAATACAAAACTGGCGAAGGTTTCAAACTTATATCTCGAGAACGGTTGGTCCTACAACAAAAAACTAAAGTACTTTTTTGTAGAGAATTTTCTTGCAAATATTTTATGTTCTATGTTTTTTTTCAGGGGACCTACCATTTCAAAGTTATTCAAGGTTAAAGGTCCCAAAAGAGGGAGGTATTGTACAAACAATAAAACGGTTGGTCCTAAAAATTGAAAAAACTTTTTTATTAATAATTTCGCACAGTTTACTATGATTATTTTAATTTGCTACGAGAAAATTATTATGATCGTTTGATTTTACAATTTCTGGATTTCAACATATTTCGACATTTTAACGTGTGGAATTCATATAAAAAAAATGAAATATCATAATGTCTTCAAAACAGTTATTTTTATGACGAAATCGATAACGACTATTTTATAGTACATTATTTTTTAAATATTTTCTGGTAATTTCCAAAATGTTTTTGAATTTTTGGTGTCGATTGTCACTAGGTAGCGTAAAGCTTAAACAAGTTTGACTATCAAATGAACATTGTTGCTGATACCTATTGTACGATAATGTTCATAAATTTCAGGAAAGCCAATTTGTAATCGAAATCGTCTAATGGGAAGTTCCTCGTGTGGGCGCCCCGAATGGCCTTACACCAATTTTTTTTATAACAAAATAACTAATAAAAAAATGAAAAGATTAGCTATTTAAAATACTTTTAAGCCAAACAATCACAACTTCATTTGAAAATTAAGTCTACATTGACTAGACATTATTGTTCACAACCAAATGTGACTTTCAACAATTACACATTGTTTATAACAATATGAATTTGTTATAAACAATTGAAAATTGTATTTATCGATTAACTGATGCGTATATCACATGGATTTGGATGTTTTCAACAAAATAATGTTATTAATGATGAAATATGACTTGTAAAAATTACATATTGTTTATAACAATACGAATTTGTTATAAACAATTAAAAATTGTATTTATTGAATAAGTAATGGGTACATCACATGTATTTGGATGTTTTCAACAAACATTGATTACAACTATTTAAATTTGTTACAAACAATTACTAATGGGAAGTTCGTCGTGTTAGCACGGACAAAGTATGCTCAGACCTATTTTTTTTTTAATTTAATTAATTGTAATAATTAATATTTTTAGGACAAATTTTATATGCAATCACGCTAAAGGAGAGAAAAAAATAATGTACGACCGAAGCAATATTTTTATAACAAATAACGATGTTTATAAGGAAAAAAAAAGAAAATTTAAATATGCATAATGATAATGAGCCAAAGGCTTCGATAATGATATTCATAATATTAATAATATATTTTTAAAAAAATAATATTTAATAATATAACAATATTTTTTTGAAGAATATATATTGGGACTGCTCGAAAGGCCTGGAACTTGGTACTGCTAATTAATTTGCTTCAAAAAATATGATTAAACAGTAGAAGTAAAGACATTATGAGTATTTCAAACTAAATTGTACTCTTCAAGATTAATATTCTTTAATCATAATGTTGATATTTGAGTTTTCGTACTCCAAGTAACTGTCAAATTCAAATGTAAAGTAATTTGCAGAGGGGCGAAGCTCATCAATACTCAGTATCAATGTATGAGTGATAAGCTCGTCCTTAGAGTAATTCAACAGTTTTGTAATAAATTAGTCTGAAAGATATAGTCGGTCTGTAAACAAGAAAGCTGTGGGTCAGCTATCGTTCTCTTTAGTAACTGTACTTTTCATTTTCTATTAATCAATATATTCCACTTGTTAATGTTACGTGTGTACTCTAAATTTTATTGAACACTTATTCAACTATTCCTTTGCCTTCCACATTAACCTTAATACATAAGTATGATTATCGATCTCAATTTGAAATGTACCATTAATGAATATTAATATAAAATATGTATACAAACATTAATTAAAACTCATTAGGAAAAATATGGACACTATCATATTGTTATATGTACAATATAAAATTGTACATATTTTTGTTTTTATACATCAACTGCATAAGTGGAATATAAAAACGAACATTTAAGAGTAAAAGTGAGTGTTTGTGATTGAGAATAATTAATTTATACAGTTGAGGTGAAATGATAAAACAATGTCAAACCGCAGTTTCGAAGGTAGTAAAAGGATGATCCCTTTTAGATGGTTACACTCTCCTTGCAAAAGTATTGAATTAATAAACAATAAATTTCTCGCGTTTAAAACACCACTTTCTGATGAGTTTAATAATCAAGTTTCTGAAGAATGTCGTTTGTCTGTGAACATACTGTTTGCATCATTAAAGTATCAAAGATTGAAAATGGGATTACTAATAGATTTGACAAATATCACCTGGTTTTATGATAAAGCTGATGTTGAATCTTATGGATGTCGTTATTACAAGCTTCAATGTCGTGGTCATGGAGAAACTCCCTCCATAGAACAAACAAAAATTTTTATCGAAATTTGCAGAAATTTTATTGCTCGTAATCGAGCTGAGATCATTGGAGTTCATTGCACCCACGGTTTTAATAGAACTGGGTTTCTTTTTATAAGTTACTGGGTTGAAAGTAACATATTCAACTTGGATGCCGCTGTGAGTGAATTTTCAACTGCCAGACCTCCTGAAATTTATAAGGAAAACTACATTAAAAAGTTATACAGGCGATATGATGATGATGAGAATGATGCACTTCCTGTACCACCGCTACCAACTTGGTGTTTAGAATACGATAATTTCAAAGTGGATGGAAACAACATGATTAATCTGGAAATCGTAAATATACTCAAAGAGGTAAAGGAAATAGTGTTAAAGATCGAGTTTTCATGGCTGGAGTTCCTGGAGTAGAATCAGTACAAGATTTAACTAAAGTTAAGAGAATTCAACGAAGAGTTCAAGAAATTTCTAAATGGAATAAAAATGGTTTTCCTGATTTCCAACCGTATGCCATAAATGAAAACATACTTTTTTCGTGTATAACAATGAAATTCGTTGTAAATGATGGAAAAAAGGATCTATGAGGTACATTCGAATTCTTCTAACGCACAATTTTTTCTTTTACTGAAATAAAGTAACTAACCATATCAAATGAATAAAAACAGACTCATTTCGTTTATAACAATTCCATTTGTTATAAAAAATGGAAACGGGTTCTATTCAAATTTTTTTTTATTTTTTCCTCTGGGAAGTTGGTCGTGTGGACCTTTCGGGTCGCACCCAGACCACTGCAGAGCACTGATATTTTAAGCAAACAATGAAGTATTTTTTATTGATAGAAATAATAGTATCTTTGAGATATCCGGATTAGCTTTTCCACACCGTGAAGATGTTTTAAGAACATTGATGGATACTTTATTAAATTGAGAAATGGTTATTGATGAAGTAAACGGTACCAAATATCCTAGGTACTTAGTTTTTGACATTATCATGTGTGATGGTAAAGACGTATCGACAGACTTATTCTTTGTAGAGCGATATGGTATAATCGAGAAAGAAGTGATGGGAGGCCGAATTAGAGCATTAAAAGAAGGCCGAATACGACGAGATCGAGAACCCTTTTCTTTTCGTCAGAAGCAATTTTGGGATATTACACAAGTGAACAGTTTGCTAAGTGAAAAATTTGTGAAACAATTAGGTCATGAACCAGACGGCCTGATCTTCCAGCCTTCGAAGGAGCCTTACATCCCTGGACCTGCTGCAAAAAAAAAATTTTTTTTTGTAATAATTATTTTCAACTCAAATTAGATTTCCGATTTGTCGAATTTTAGTATATAATATTTCAAATCAACGGTTTGGAGTAACAGTGACCAAGCACTTCTCTGGAAATGACTAACTTTTCCTTTATTTTATTTTTCAGCCTAGATGGTCAAACTTTAGCCTTTGACAATTAAAATTGTCTTGCCAACCTTAAAGAGTGCCATAAAATCTAAAATAAAATAAAGGCCGAAATTTAGGGTAATAGTATACCTGAACTTTTTTAAATGAGGATTGAAATGGGAAAAATCCGCTAAAAATTTTCAAAATCACGTAAAGGTACTCCAAAGTAGACAAAACTAGTTTTCTTTGGAACAAAGATGTACAAATCTAATTTTAAAAATGTAACAAACTAACAAATTGTATACTACAGACATCTTGGGGTCAGAGTACCAACTAAAAATTTCTGGCGACACGAAAAAGCCACTTCTAGGCTTCTAGGTAAGACAGTATTCTTTGAAAGAATCATGAATAGATAAACTGTGCACTACATTGGACGGAAAACTGATGAAGGTAATTACTGTAAATTTTTTTATTTTTAGTCAATTTTTACTAATATCGTTCATAAAAACTTCTTTATAATTTTTTTATTAAATTTACAAATATCATTTTTATCATCAACATTTACAAACAACTTGAATGATATTCAACAAAATATCAAATATAACCTTTATAATACAAAGACAATGAGTTTTGAAGCCGACTTCAAGCTGTAGAATGAGGCGTCAAAGACAAGAAGATAGCTTTCTTATTTTTATAAAAATTTTATTGTTAATATCCAGTTCTCATTGATTGTCAGGTGATTAAGTAATAGAAAATAAAATTTTATGCAATTTGAAGAAAGGTGAACAAAACAATTTTTAAATTGGCTTACTGTATTTTGATTTTAAAACTTTCAAACACTGTAGTAATGAATTTCAATGTTTTTATATAAGAATAATTTTGAAAACAATGAAACGAAGAGTAATGATCCATGATTCATAATCATATTTTCAGGAGACCGTGTGTAAATTTTATCTTAGAGCATTAGTGAAATCACATTTTTATTATTCGATATTTCAAAATAATGATAGTCGTTGAATTGTTTCAAAGTATGTTGGAAAAATTGATATATTAATGTTAATGATTAGTTCCATATAATGAAGGATATTTTATTAATTTTTTTTAGACAAATTGACTGATAGGTTTAAAGTGGAAACACAAATAAGGGTGTCGTAACAATGGATAAATTAAGAAGAGCTCTAAGTGGCAATGACCAATGTGATGAAGAAAGCGGAATTATGACTCAGGTATTCTATAATATTTTAAATTTTTATATTGGTTAGTTTACAACTGTAACATATTGTGATATATTTCATGCCTCTAGCGTGAAGTTGATTTCCTGGTGAGTTTTCTTTTTTTAAACTTTGATTTACATGAATTTTTGACATTTTTTACTTTTTCATGATTTAAATTATTTGTGATTACATAATTTAATAATAAAATGAAATATATTTTATAACAGATAATGGATGATACAACGTTGAGTTGGTCAACAAGAATCAAAGGATTTGCAATTTGTTTTATTGTTGGAATACTTCTATCATTTCTCGGGTCATTTGCTTTGTTTTTAAATCGAGGCATATCAGTTTTTGCAGTATTTTATACACTTGGAAATCTTATTTCATTGGCAAGGTATACAAATTATAAAAATGTCGAATTAATTTAAATAATGGAGATTCGATGTAAATAAAATATAACAGAAATATTTAATTTATCTGCAGTACATGTTTTCTCATGGGACCAGTGAATCAACTTAAAAAAATGTTCGCATCATCAAGAATTATTGCTACACTTTTAGTATTCCTTTCAATTGGTCTTACTTTATATGCTGCAATAAAGGTACAAAAAATTCATTTAAATTTAATATTAATAGGATATTAATTTTAACATTATTAGCTAAACTATATAATTAATCATTGATAATTTACATTTTTTGTATTTTAGTATTCTAATTTTTTGTATTTGTAATATTTTCAGCTTGAAAAACCGGGCTTAGCACTTGTTTTTATTATCATTCAATCATTGTCTATGACATGGTATTCGTTATCATACATACCATATGCTCGAGACGCAGTAAAAAAGACAGTAGAATCCTGCATTACGTGAATTTGTAAAAAGGACTGATCTTTGAAAGTTCCGGATCAATTTTCGGGATGACGACAATAATTATAAACATTAACAGCTCTAAATATATCAGCTTAGGCAAGCTGATATATCACAAATTTGTAAATTATAAATTTACATGAATTTTCTTTTTCAACATATATAAAGATAATTTATTCACTTGATCGACTAATTCATCATCATTAATCACTTTTATAATCAATTTAATATTTAAATTCCGTTTTTTAATTTTTACTTAGCTCATCATAGTAACTCAGACTACGCTAGTGAATTTGATTTTGTATTATTGGTGTCATTATAAAAAATACTTAATCCAACTGTTGTAACATTCAACATCAATTGCATTATAATCTTTAATTTTATGCGTTGAGATAAAAATAGAAAAAGTACTTTTTTAGTTTAAAATGACTAAAATAATTAAAAATTTATATGTCATGATACTAATCATGCTTGTGATGATATAGATTGATTTTAAAAAATATTAAAATCAGATGACAAAGTGCCTTATCTAACCTTTATTGTCTATAATATTATCAACGATGTGATCATACTGATATTTATATTAATTGTGATTTATGTAAATGTAAACATAAAGCTCATGAAAATTATTTCTGGTTTATAAATGTTCTAAAAATATTTTAATATTAAATGTAACTGTTATTTAATTTTATGAATTATTATAAATGAAATAATTGAAAGATCACTTTTACTACAGTTGATATTATGATACTATTTTTTTATAATAAAATAGTTTATTTTTTAGATATTTTATACAGTACTTAGAAAATTTAAATTAAAAAATTCAAATAATTAATGTTAATAAACATAAATTCTTAATTTTATAAAAGTAATACATAAATGACAATTTTTGTATTCATTTATTTATAAGAACTGGTACTAAATAATAATAAATAATTGAATATAAGAATCATTTCATGACAAAAATTTTTTCTAAGATTATAGTTTTTAAGAATAGTTAACATTTTTTCCATAAAAAAAATATTCGAAATAATTATATCAATTTTTTTCGCCATACTTTAGCTGAATTAAGATAATTGAACATTTCAAATAAAAATTACTTTAATAAAATTTTTCAATTTCATTTGAATGTTTATTTTCTTAAATTTTTATTCAATTTCAAAATAAAAACGTTACGATTTACACAACCAATCGTAGTCTTGCTTATAATATTTGCCCAACGTACAAAACTTTATACCAAGAACATGGATTGTGATTGGTAACTTAAGACGCCCTTATTCTCGTTCTAAATGAACAGTGCCATCAACAGGTCGTGAATTGTAAAGCTGAGAACATTTTGTACAACAGACACTGCAGGATAAAATCCATAGAATCGTTATAGATTGTGACTTTAGTCGCGCGGGACGCGATTTTTTCTACTCAAAATTATTTTATATATCGTATTTATATTCAATTATTCACTCTGGTAAGCATGAGTTAAATAACATTAACATATCTTATAAATTTTAATTTCCCCAAAGCCATAATTTAAAACAAATGGTCAACACTAAACAATCAACATGTCGACTTAACCGTTACTATTTGAAGTTTTCGAAGATAAAAATGCCAAAAAATCAAACTTAATTTTTTTACTTTTTTAAGACAACATTTTTTGTACCATAATTAATTTATGTAAAGAAAAGATTTGTTCAAGTTTGATAGCTGCTATGATTTAGAATCGTAGTATAAATATAACAATCGCAATACAATGCATTTACTATTATTGTTTTCTTAACCATTTGAATTAAAGATTTTTTAAATAATTTTTTTCGTTATGTGTTTGATTGAACATCATAATATATTTTTATTAATTATCATCACTACCTAGTTTTAACCTAAAATAAAAATGTTTTTAATATATTCGGTATGTATTATATTTTTCAGGTATTTATAATTTTTCAAAATGCCAGCAGAAACAACAACGCAGGCTAGCCGAATGGCTAAGTTCAAAAATAATATGAAGTCAGAGGTAAATATAATTTTATACAATTTATAATTATTGGAGTTTAATGAGAGTAATCTAAATTTTAGTGCAAAATCTGTTACTTTTTTAACATACCAGGTAGTTTAATGCTTTAAGATATTGTCCTAATGTATGATTTATAATTAAACGTTATGATTTCAGGATGCAAGAAGAAGAAGAAATGAAGTAAGTGTTGAACTTCGTAAAGCCCGCAGAGATGATCAAATCCTCAAACGTCGGAATATTGTTATTGAAGAATCTGAATTGACTAAATCTCCAGAATCTTCTCGATCTCCTGTTTCAATGTCAATTGATGAAATCGTTACTGGAATGGCATCTAATGATCCGCATCTTCAACTTCAAGCTACACAAGCATGCAGAAAAATGCTTAGTCGAGAAAAACATCCTCCGATAGACATAATGATTCGAAAAGGAATCGTTCCTCGCTGTGTAGAATTTCTTAGTCGTCATGATAAGTAAGTTTTAAGAATTAATAACATACGGCAAAAAAGTTCTAATTGATGGATTACTGAATTTAGCCCCGCACTTCAATTCGAATCAGCTTGGGCGTTAACTAATGTGGCCTCTGGAACATCAGAACAAACACATACCGTTACTGAGCACGGAGCCATACCTAAATTGGTTGAATTACTTAAATCACCTGCTCCAAATGTAGCAGAACAGGCAGTTTGGGCTCTAGGTAATATTGCCGGTGATGGTCCTTCCACACGAGATCTTGTTCTTCAGAATGGTTCTATACCAATTCTCATCAGCTTGATCAAACCTGAGGCACCAGTATGTAAAATTTTATATTTATGTAATAAACAATAATTTTTTATTACATTCATATTGATAAAAGCATACTTAAATCAAGAAATCTTTGAAACTATTGTAATTTTCATCACAGGTAACATTCACAAGGAATATTGTATGGACTCTTTCAAATCTCTGCCGAAATAAAAATCCTCCGCCACCTTTCGATATTGTTAAAACAGCTTTACCTTCTTTGAATCGTTTACTTGATTATGAGGATATCGACATCTTAGCTGATACTTGTTGGGCGTTATCATATCTTACGGATGGCACTAATGACAAAATTCAAGCCGTTTTAGATTCCGGAGCAGTTCCAAAACTTGTGAATTTATTACGTTCTTCAGAAGTTACAGTATTAACCCCAGCATTACGAGCAGTGGGAAACATAGTTACTGGAAATGATCTTCAAACAGACGCCATCATTGCCGCTGGTGGGTTGCAGACCTTACGTAATTTGTTAGATCATAAGCGTTCCAATATTGTCAAAGAAGCTGCTTGGGCAATTAGCAATGTTACTGCAGGAAATGGAGATCAAATTCAACAAGTTATTAATGCTGGGCTTTTACCGCCTCTAATTAGAGTTCTCAAATCTGTAAGTTTCTTTTCTTAGTATTATGTTATATTGTATTTTAATAATATATTTATCCGATAATATTTGTTGTTACTTTTATCTTAGGGTGACATTAAATCTCAAAAAGAAGCAGCATGGGCAGTAACTAATTTGACCTCCGGTGGGTCAATTCAACAGTTAGTCTGTCTTATTCAACATGAAGTTTTAGTACCTTTTTGTAATCTACTAGAGGCGAAAGATGTAAAAGCGATCATGGTAGTGCTTGACGGTTTAACAAATATTTTGGCTACCGCTGAGAAAGTTGGAGAACTTGATCGTGTAGCAACTATGATTGAAGAAGCTGGTGGTCTTGATAAATTAGAAGCTCTTCAGCATCATGAAAATGAAAAAATCTATCAGAAAACTTCTGCTATGATAGATAAATTCTTTTCAATGGTAAATAATATAAGCATTAAAATATTTACTGATTATTAATCATTTCTCTAAAACTATATAATAAAATACCATTTTTTTTCTAGGAACCAGATAATCCTGAAATTGCTCCAACAACTGTAGACGGTCAATTTGATTTCCAATCAACACAAAATAGTACACCCCAAGGTGGATTTCAATTCTAATAGTAGCGAATTGTTTTCACTTATTCAATTGAACCTCAAATGGAATTAATATACCTTACGCTTTTTACACATTTATATATCGTAAACAAGAATACAATGATTATGAACAATACAATTTAAAATAAGGAACAAAATGCCATAAAAAATAATAATTTTTTTTTAGTCACGTAGATTGATTTTTTTGCAATCACCTTATGTTCTCATTTATCTTTCAGTTAAATTTCATCAATACATTTTTATACATTCTGAAAATACATGAGTTGCAAAGATTTCTTTTAACTTAAGTTTTATGTAGCTTGCTCTAAAATGTGATCTTGTGTTTGACATCTAATTTATATTTAGCAAGCAATGAGCGTTAACTTTCCACCAATCTTTGTACTTTATTCTGAAATTTTTTCATCAATAAAAAAATTTTTGATACAAAATAGATGTTGAAACATTAAATTTCGAATTATTTCAAAAAACACTCATACCAAAAAATTTCATTAAAATGCTCAAATATTTTATACATACGAGTCGTTGTTTATTATTTATTGTCTTCATATTAGAAAGTTTTTTTTTTCAAAATATTATCAAAATTATTGATCAATATTGTTGAAATAAACCATAAACATTTAAGACCAATTGCATAAATTGACAAACGGAAACGATAGGTAAAAAATAGGTTTAGAGCATAATAGAATTGTGATTGAAAAAATCTATTTTCTTATTGATAATTATATTTAATAAATACTTTTACAAATAACCATTTTTTTAATTAAAGTAATATAAATAATTCGCAAACGCCTTAACAATAATTTTTTAAACGAGCTAGCGTGCAACTTGTATATTAAAGTGAATGAATCATTTGACGAATAAAGCTTGAGCCCTTTGGCACGATATTTATAGTTGTCTGGTGTTTAAATGAGCTATAAATATTTAAAATATTTCTTCTCTTTATTCAAGTCAATTAAGTGCCACAATTTAATTCCGATAAAAAAAATATTGTTACAATTCTTTTTTCCCATCAATAGATCTTTTTCAATTATCAATTACAAGATTTTTTTAATTCATATAAAATTATAAAAATATCCAAAATTTTCCGATATTGAATTAATTCTAGTAATTATTTTATAAAATAGTATTATCAATCTCAATGAGTGTATTATTGTGAAAAAAAAGTTTCATTTTTTCTTCAGTTCCAAAAAAATTAGTAGGTGAGTTATTAAATGAATTACAGACATCAATATACTATAATTACCAAAAGGTTTGTTCGTTTTAATGTAATGGTTTCATTTTAAACAGAGTTATTAAAAATTTCTATAAAATTTAAAAATAAAATAAATATTGATACTATTCAACTAATAACTATCTTTAGTTTTAGCAGCACATAACGACTAATCAATTATTTAATTTGTATTAGCTTAATTATTAATATTTCAAATTTCTATTGAATATTTCCAGCGTTCTTTACATTAGTTTTTCTATCTATTTATTCGAAAATTCTATCATCATAAAATTGAATTTATTTTTTCAAAATACTCAAAATCGTTTAAAATAATTTTAGCAATGTCTATACATCGATTAGGTATCGTTGAAGAAATTCTATAAAATGCGAGTGAGTGTAAGCGATTATTGTTATTACATTAATTTGCTTAGTTATTGAGTATACGTTCGAACAGTGGCACTAGTGAAATATTTATTTAATAAAAGATTCATTTTATAAGAGATTCTAGAGTTATAATAAGTTAAAATAGCCATAAAATATATCATCTTAGCACACGCATGATTCCATGATTACTTTCTTTTATTGATGTTTTTTTTCATTTTTCTTAATAACAATCATGTAAAATGAGTTTTGATTATCATCTACACTTTTTTAAATTTATTATCGTCCAAGGAAATCACTTTGATCGTTCACTAAAAAATGATAAACGAAAGCAGCTTTTTTTCGATCGAATGTTGCTTGAATTATTCGATTTCTTTGACTTCGTTCATCCCTACTTTTTGGAGGATCTCGTAAAAAAATCGATCCAAATAATGTTGCTAAATTCAATAAAATTATAAGTGAAGTTTTTAATTTGTTAAGAAGAGAATAAACACAAAAGAAAAAAAAATGTTATTATACCTAAAGTTTTGGCGTCTAGTCCATTATCTTGGGAATGATTCAATAATTCTTGTAAAAAAGCACAAATGTATAGAAATACAGTTCTTCTGATTTCTGGTAACTGCATTATTAACTGAAAGAAACATAAATTAATTATGTGTAATTATGGGTAAAATTTAGTTATATTACGTAAATTGTAGTTTTATGAAATATTTTACTCTTTAAATTAAAAAATCTCAAAATATATAATTTAACCTACTTGTTTACACTGCAAATAATTAGTTGCTGCTGACAAACAAATGCTGTGTAAATTGTAAGGTACGAGGGGTTCTGCTGTTGATTCTAAAAGTAAAAGTAATGCTTCAGCAGCGGAATGAACACTACCGGCTAAAAATCATTATTAAGAAAAATTTTATTAAAAAACATATTTTTTATCAGAATGCATTGGATGAAAACTTGTCGATTTCAATTAATGTTAAATTAATTATTTTAGTTTTTTGAATTATTATAGTTGATAAAAGGATACGCATGGGATCTTGGCTGCCTATGTCCAACCAATCTCTTATAGCTATAATCTCACTGTGTAGCCCAGGAGTCTCGAATAATCCAGGAATTTTAATACCATGACGATACAGCCTATCAACTAGTAACCAAACTTCTTTTGGTACTGGATAAGGTTCTTGTGATGGGTTTTTATTATTTTCCTTTTTAATTACAAATTTAAATTTATTAAAATATTTCATATGAAGTTGAATTATTGAAATACATAAATAATATTTTACCAATTCCATTATTCGCCCTATAGGAATTTCTCTAATGGGCACAGGAATATGTACCAATGCTTCCATTGAAGAGCCAAAACAACTCCTTTCATAAGTACCCGTAACAGTAATAAATATATCCTTGCCACCTTCAAGGTGTAAAACCAATATGTCATATAATTTATCTTCACCAGAATTTAATTTACATGCTGATCTTTTATCAATGTAAATTTCTAATTTTATATCACATTTTTCACCTGTTAAAAAACATTATTCAGATATGCAAATTATTTATATTTTAATATATAAATTAAATTTACCATTGAAGACAATTACCTGGTTTTATAAATCCAGTGTAAGGTTCTATGTGTAACCAATCTTTGCAATAATTTGCATCATCTAATTTTTTAATAAATTCAAAATGAACTGGCACTTGTCCAGTATTTGCAATGATAAGCTCTTTACTACTTGGTTCTAAAAATTTCAAAACATCAAAAATTAGTTCTGTTGTATCAACCATTACTTGTGGCAAGAATTCGTTTTCTAATTTATCTAATTTTTTCATCACTTCTTCGAGCGTTTTTCTGTACTTTATCATATCTATAACTCTTATCTAAAAAAATTCACAAAATTTACAAACATTGATTAAATCATATCAGTTAGAAAGTATTGATCAAAAAACTACTACTACAAATAATGGAATAATGCATAATGCATAGAAAATAATTTACAAATCATACCTGAGCATCAAACGTAGCGCTAACAGGTTTATGATCAGAGATTCTTAATTCAGGATGACTTCGATAACTGACCGATGTAATGGTATCACCTCTCCAAAGCACACGATCACACCATGCTGGCGCTCTACCTTTTTCACTGTTTAAATTTAAATTTAATTTAAATTCATACAGTAGATATATTCTTTGTCTTTCGATGACAAAGCTATACTTTCAAATTGATTTCTCACGAACCTCGAATCCCAATTGTCAGTTCCTGGATCATACTTGTATGTAGGTTTAAATGTTATTTCAGCTTCGTGAAATCCTTGAAGTACTTTTCCAAGTTTTCTTTGCTGTCCCAATTGATCTAAAGCCAATACTGGAGCATAATTACCAATTGTAATGTATTGCTTTGCCGTTAATACATCCATTTCTGTTATTCGATAATTTAAATCTCCAAGCCAATAAATTTGACTGTAATAAGCGATGAAATACTTAATTACAATGATAATATATTTCTTGATGATAACTATATCAAATGAATTATTTATGTGTATTTACTCATGATCTTTAAAACTTTTAGGAGGTACATGACTTGAAAATGATAGCCGTGTACATATATCTGCATAATCTTGATTTCGACGTTCATATTCTTCACAATGAGCTGCTAAATGTGCATTTACGAAACAAATAGATGTGTTATGAATAGAACAACTAAGAGCAACACCACCTTTATTGCCCTAGTTTTTAAAAATAAAAAATTAGGTAAATATTCTTCTTTTTATTTAAACAATATTTGATTAAAAATAATATCAAATTATTCGACAAGTATTTACCAACTTTCCCATAATTCCTGTACCGACAGTATCAACAGATATATTTTTTATAAAAGGTACATGTGCTTCCTGAGCAAAAACAATAAGCATCATGCCAACAAGACGAACAATAGCTATTTGTTTATAAACACCTTTCGGATGAAGAGATTTAGATACAACTTGTCTAAAATACGATGGAAATTTTTTAATTATTAATTGACAATATTGCTAATATTCATTATTTTATATATAATAAAGTATCGTAGTATTATTAATTGTTATTAGTACCTCCATTCTTCTTCACGAGGTGTATCATTAAAAAGAAAAGCTTCTTTACTTAAATCTAATTCTTGAAAACCAACAGCATAAATGTCTGGAGGAATTTGATCATCGCTTAACCATTCATTCAAAGAAACTGCATTCGGAGGTTGACCATTAACATTCCACGTGCCAATAAAAATTCTGAAAAATTGTCCAACATTCATTTAACGACTTATAAATTCTTACTGTTAGTTATTTGATGAATGTTAAACTAAATATATACTAACCTCAGAGTTTCAGTATATGTGTAATCATCTTCCTTACAAGCCATTTGATAGCGAACCACCGATTCTCTAGCTGCTACAGGAGTCTTACCACTAGCAATATTTCTTCGAGAAACTACTAAATCTGGACTGTCAAGTTCTACAAACTATAAATTATTTTTTGTAACTATTATTCATGTATAATATTAAATAAATATTAATACAAAAATGTTTATTTACTGAGTCTCCCATTCCACTATTTAAATCACCAGATCCACTGTTTAAATTTCGTGTACTTCCCGTTAATTTTTGTATCCACAAATATTCGGATGTTGAGCTTTTATTTTTTTGATATACTGAAAATATTATAAACTTTTTGTAAACAGAAATACTAATAATTTTATAACTATTTCATTTACACAACATTTATTCATTGAATAATTTATGACTAAAAATGTATATTTACAATTGAAGTACCTTCAATAGCACGAAATATTTCAGATACTAATGAACTCGTTGCCTCTCCAGGTCTCATTTCAAAAACTAATCTTTGTTTTCTTGAAGAAACATTTAAGTAAACATCTAAACCTTCCTGTTGTTGATTTCCAGTATCTTAAAAAAAAAGAATATAAAGGAATATTTCAATATAAATAATAATAGCTTTTTTAACTGCAAAAAACTCACCAATATTACATTTAAATTCTTGATCAATGGGGAGTACTCTTTCAATGGTAAGATCACTATAAACTTGTGGTGGATTCCGAGATGTAAGTAAAATAACTAAAGCATGAGTCGTACCTTTGTTGACTAGAGCTAAGAGTCGTGTAGCTTTTATCCATCCTTGCATCAATGACGCTTCTACTGCCTTTAGTTCAATAATTACATTAAGGTTTTATCATAATCACATTTCAAATTGATATAATGTAAAATTTCAACAGATCAAAATTAAACAAAAACATTAAAGTACATTAGATTATCAATTTATATTTTAAATTTCTATTAAATAAACACAATTAAAAACATATATCGTACAATTTACAAGTGTTTTTAATTATAAAATCAATTTGATAATATTAATAAATTTTTGTTGTTTTCAAACAATTGTGTTCACTCGTAAATTTAAGTAAGCTACTTAACTTTTTCATTTCATTGTTAATTAAATAAAGGATACAATAGTCACTATTTCTCCAGTGGTGAATTTGGATTGAACAATTGAAATTTGTTCACGTGAAGCCATAATTTTATTCCTATCCATGAAAAATAGAGAGAATATATAGAAGTGAATAAAGAGTTTACTCAATTGATTATAATAACGTTGGCTTTTATTTATTATATTGTAATTTTAATCATTATATATATTTTGACTAGGTGTGGTTGTGTGTCTGTGACAGATCTGTATTTCATAATCTAAAAATCGAAAGATCATTTTACTATTTATTTTTACAAAAATTGCATAACATATGTTCGAAGTTTTAAATAAATAATAATTAATTATTGATAAAAAATCATACCTTAAAAACTGTAAAGTTTGTATCGCTTTATTTGTTTGCGTTTGATTGATAAACACATTTTAAATAAATTAATAATAAATTTCTTTCAACAAACTGATGGATAATATTCAAAATTATGAAATTTTTATTTATTATTTAATACTTGATTTTTGTTTATGACAATTTATCACTTACTTGGTTGTCTTAACCAACGATAATTATAAACCATGATTGACAGGTGCATCAAAGACTCAAAAACATCATTGCATCAGTGGGTAGAGTGTGGGATTTAAATCTTTCTGAATTAAAATACTTCAATGCCTCTTTTCAAATTTGGATGCATTTGAACTAGTGAGTAGAGCTTCTCAGTATGTTGATAAAACAGAAATTTACTCAATCAACATTGAGAAATACAATGTAGTTCTCAACTTCTATTTATTCGTGATTTCCGTTTCTATCTAAAACTACACCACGTGATTATGGCAGGTTTTTTATTTATTAAATTATTTCAAAATGGAACGGTTGAGCATCGAAATTAAAAATATTTATCTTTTTCCATCATAAATACTAATACAATTCTAGATACTTATCGTACAATAACCCTCTTCTAAGTTTTTTTGTTTTAGTGAGTAAGTACAGTATAATTTAACAAATTTCTGTACAGAATCAATTTTTTATTACTAAATTTATAGATGATGAACGTCGACATCGAGAATGTTTGTGAAAAATTGGATATCTTAATGCTTCATATCTTGAAACTAACAGAAGAAAAAATATCTGTTACCCTTCAATTAGAAAATCAAATGAAAGAAGGGTTCATAGAACTAGCAAAAGCTCGATATATTCGAGGAAAAGAAAGTGTTGGACTAATTCAAGTACCACAAGATACTCCAATATCTTCTTTATTGGATTTGGAATTAAGTTTTAATAAAAATCCATCCATTCCACATTTTGATATTCGCATGAAAAATAAAGAAGAAAATGTAGAACACCAAGATCCTATTCGGTGGTTTGGAGTTTTAGTGCCACAAAGTTTAAAAACATCTCAAAAAAGATTTCAAGAGAGTATTTATCTTTCTGTAAGAATGGCTAATATTGTAGCAGAATTAACTAAGCTTAACGAAGATTTTGAAATAGCAAAAAAATTGAAAAATAGATTACTTACTAATCTTGAAGAATAAAACGTAAATTTCCATAATGATTTAAAAAAATTAATAATGTATATGAAAGAAATAAATATGAATATATATAAATTTTCCTGAATAGTATAAATTATTATATTTATTCAAAACCTGCTGTTATTAATTTAATAAGATTCTGCATCTGGTGTATGTAGAATGCATGAATATAGGGATATGAGAACCACTGATATGTGGTTTTCATTTTCAGTGATTTTACCGACAAAGACTACGTTTGTCAACAAAAACGATGTAAAAAAATGTTCTAACAATTTATTGAAATTTTTCAAAATCTATAATACTTACTATGTGTATACATTTATATAATCTTTTGAGCTATTCGTTAATTCAATAGAAATAAAGACATGATGTGTAATCACTTTGAGCCAGATTTTATTTGTATTTTTCAATAATGCGGAGAAATAGGTAAGTATCACTTTTTATTTGATGTTTTTATTATAAAAAATTTGATTTAAAAATAACAGATTTTATAAACCTCATCTATTCTATAATTATGACTATAAAAGTATTTAAAAACTTTATTTACTACAGAATTAAACAAAAACTGTTTATTGGTGCTTTTATTTTGAGCATTACAATATTTTATAATGAATATTTCGTTTATGAACTACAAAAACTTCATTGGGCAACTAAAGACTGTGAAGACTGTGTCAAAATATTGCTTGTTGCTGATCCTCAAATAATAGGAGAAGTTAACGAAAATTATTTTGGAGCTTGGTTTGCACGATGGGATAGCGACAGGTAAAAAAATTATATATTGTATTAATTAAAACTCGCTTGCATAAATCAATTTCTAAAATTATGTATTTTCTATAGATATTTGGCAAACACATTTTCGCGAGCTTTAAAAAATTCTCAGCCAAATATAATTGTATTTCTTGGTGATCTCATGGATGAAGGTGAAATAGCAACAACTGAACACTTTGTAAAATACAAACATCGATTAGACTATATTTTTCAAACTTCAGATAGAATATTGGTAATTAATAACTCTTAATCATGATAAAATAACTAAATATCTTCATGGTTAAAATTGTTTTTCAGAAGATTTATCTTCCAGGAGATAATGACATAGGAGGTGAAGATAAACCAGTATTAGTAAAACACCATGAAAGATTTAAGTTTGCTTATTCGCAACCTGATACATTAACTTATAAGAATGTAATATTCTTTAAGGTAAATTAAAAGAACTTTATTATATCGATAAATAAAGTAACAATCATTGAAATAATAATTTTTGTTCTTTGTTTCAGGTAAATAAATTAACTTATTACATGCCAAATGCACCAAAAGATGCCTTTTTGAATTTTTATACAGAAAGAAATATAACTAATGTTATTCTCAGTCATTTGCCACTTTTATTTTCCCCTGGAGGCTTTGTTAAAAACGTTCGTACTTTTTCTTTGATAATTATTAATATTCTACAATAATTATTTTAATTTCGATTGAACAACAAGACTTAATCAATCAAATTTTTATATATAGGTCGTAAAAGAGCTTTCACCTCAAATAATATTCACTGCTCATGATCACAAAGCGATGCACATAAGTCTTGATTCAGTAGTTGATCAATTAAGTTCTATTAGAATTTTCAAACCTAATGAGAATCAATTTTATAATTTTAGATTAGATATAAATGATATCCACGAGTTTAAAATACCAACATGTTCTTATAGAATGGGTACACGTCATATGGGCTATGGATTAGCTCATATAAGTAAGTATCATTTGAATTTGGATAATTGAAATTACTTATATAATTACATATTTTTTATAGACAATGAAGATAAATCTGTAGACTTCACGGTGTTGTGGTTACCAGAACGATTTCCAAAGTTAATTGGATATCTCTGTGTTATAATATTTCTAATCATAATTGCAAAATGTACAATGATATGCAGCTGTTTCTCTTCACCTAGTCATGTTGTTTATAATCAGCTACCAAACGTTTGAAAAAATTTTAAAATGTTTATTCAATTTAAAAATATCAAAAAAATATTATTAATTTGGCTATTCGTTATCTTTATTAACATTAAAGCATTTATGACATAGTTGAGAAGAATTTATAAGACTCTACAAGCCATGACTATTATAAATGCTAAGTATTTATTTACTTAGTCCAATAATTAATAGATATTTTAAAATTTCATGCTTTTAAGAAGACTAATAATTTTCATGCAAAACTGACAATAATCGATTTATTTCATAGGTAACAGCATAGGCTTTTAAATAATGAAAGTAACATAAATTGCTAAAATAATGTTGTTATTAAATGATAAAATACTGTTTTTCATTGATTAATAATATACTAGAATATATTTATATTCATTGACATACATGTATTTTTTTATTCTATTATTTTATGATTAGAATTCATCCGATCTGTAGTTATGCTCCTGTGACCTCTCTTAAAAATTTTTCAACAACGATAAATAAACTTTACATAAATTATCAGAACACAATTTTTGAGTGAAGTAAAAAATATAAAATAAATTTCCTTTTTTATAATAGTATTAAACACAAAAATATAAAAAGATACTTTACCATATATTTGTAAATAAAATTAATTATAGAATTTGGCAATAAGATTTTTTATACATTTTCCAACTCGATTAATTATTACTCAAATGTTTATTAATAAATTGATTTTTATTGCCAACCTCTAAATGAGTCCTCTCACAGTATAAACTTTTTTTGTTGGCCATGTTGTTGCATTTCTACTTTTTTTAACTTCTTTTTTGAAGAACAAATACTAAAAACTTTATGATAATTCACCACATTATATCACTTATATCACATTTGTCCAAAAGTAATTAAAAGTTCTATGAAACTAATCCCTACATACTGATCCCTGATTAATCTGGTCCTTAGTCTTAATCACACTTTATTTTTTTCTTATGCTCTTCATTTAAATCAATTTTATTTAAAAATCTTAAACGATATTTAAACTTTTTTGTATAACACGTATTGTTTTTCACTTGACCGTTAAATGGAAGCTAATGATATGTTTTTAAATACTTTAACTCAAAACCACAATGTCTTGATTCTTGATTGTTTTTAGTCCAAATCGTTATAAAGCTTCTTTTATACTGAAATAATTATATCTTTTTTATAAAGTCCATATGCAATTAATCCCCATAAAGTTGTTGTCCATAGATTCATAGCGAGAAGAGATGTATGTGAAGGATTTTCTAGTTTCCAACTCCACGGAAAACGATCCATAGTAAAATAGTGTCCAACATATAAGAAAATTGAATTTGCTCCAGCATATATAAAAGGAATACCATCCCAAATTCTTAAATAATCGATTAAATAATATAATATGGAGAAAAGGAGGAATGCAAAACAAGAAGCTATTAAAGTAAACGAAGTTGTCATCATGTTTTTGTTAACCGGAAGAACTCCTTGGAATCCCCAGTCACATAAATATCCAGCAATAATTCCCTAAAAAATTTTTATGGATAAATAATAAAAATACTTACATCACTGACAAAAATATCATACAACATATTTACTGTTAAAGCAGCCCAAGCGAACCATCTTACAAATTTTGAGAAACAACGTAGGTATCCAAATAAAATTCTACCAGCTTGGAGACCCATTGCAACGATTAAAACTGCTGATAAAGTATTCATCAACCCTGTATTAAATAAATTAGTTATTTTAATAACTAAATTATCAACTCTATACGAATGGTAATTTAAACACATTAAAAATATTCAACAAACTTATTACCTTCAGGATCATGAGGAAGAAGATTTCCATAAATAATGTTTTTCTTTTTCAAATAAGTATGATTACCAAAGATCATTCGATCAATGTATCCAGCTGCTCCTCCAGTACAATTTGCATATTTTCCATTTAAATGATAACCACCTGGACCTAAATATCCAGTTGGACATCCAGGAACGGGCAACAAAAATGTAATTAATAAATGTATTGCGACAAGTATTAGTACTATTAGCCACTGTACCCAAGAATCAAAAACATCTTGTAAAAACGCTAATCTTCCATATTGATAATTTCTTTGCAGTTTCATAAAAAGTGCTTCTATAGTAGCACAAATAAAATAAGTAATTCCCAGAAGTTGGAGAACTCCAGTGATGCGCAACGAGACAAGTGATGGTTTAACTGGATTACTAATAATTAATCCTAAGAAAATAAATATCAAAGAACGCTTAAAAGCTTTGAGGATTATTCTTGATCTTGGGATTGATAAACGTAATTGAGATCTAACAGATAAAATTATTGTAACTCCCATAATCCAAGCAAACCAAGGTAAAACTAGATCAGCTACTGTCAATCCATCCCATGGTGCGTGTTCAAAGAAGACATATCCACCACCTCCATTGTTTACAAATATCATCAATAATACTGCGATTCTGAAATTCACAGATTATTTTTCAATGATTAATTTTTAAATGAATCTTAGTGTCAACATAACAATATAATATTTCGAGTTTTTTCATGCAAAAAACATTATCTTACCCTCTAAACGCATCAATTGATCGAATCCTTGTATCCGCTCTTGTTATTCTCATTGATGGCTGGGGTGGAGAATCAGATTCTTGGAGAGGCTAAAAGTTTAATCAAATATATGAAATAAAAAAACGAATTAGCAATCAACGAAATGATAGGTAAGACATACACTTTGATCGTCTCCAGAATTTCGTGTTAAAAATCCCTGAACAACTTTAATAACGAAATTAGCTGTTGCATTGATAACTGAAGCGATAGTGAATACCATAAATGCTGCTAAAATAGCTAACAAAAAATAAACGTTAAATGATTATTTATAATAACTTACGGATTGTTTTTTTAATTATTGTTTTTTAATATTTACGAAGATGAGGATTGTCTGGTTCAGTCAATTTATAAAAATATGAACAAATATGAGCTTCTGACAAATTCCAACCATAACCACCATGTTCTTGAAATTTGTATGTTGTGCTAAAAAAAAATTCATTATTTTTACGATTATTGAAATATTATACAAAAATTATATATAAGAAAAAAATTTTCAATGCACTTACTGACACCATTCTAACCCATTTCTTTTATAATATAAGGAGAGCGGATATTTGGTAGAAATTACAAATGTATTATTACTATTTTCAGGTAATTCACCCCATGGTAATCCACTACACTGGAATGTTTATTTTTATTTTATAGTAATTATAAATACTAATTAATTTATAGAAAAAATTATATAATTTAAAAATGATATATACCACATAACAACTATTTATGTTGCCGAATAAAGAAACTTTGCTTCCTTCATTAATAATGTTTAAACAAGCCTCATCGATCCCTAAACTTTTATTAGGATTTATGCAAGCATTACTATGTATGGGAAGTGCCATTGTAGTAAAAACGAAATTTTCAACAATAACTGATAAAACAATGCTTAGTAATATTAACTATTGCTCAACTCTACCAACAACAGCTGAAATATATTAAAGATTTTTTAAAAAATACTTCATATTTTAAATGTCAAGAATGATTATAGATTTGTAATATTTTAACATTTTCGAATAAAAAAACATTATAATTAAAATATGATATAACTTACAGCTGAAATACTTGTATTATCAATCGTTAAATCTATTTTGATGAATAATTATTAAATGACGTTGTTCATACATTCTTTTGTGAGAAAAAACGTAGAAAATATGTGTGAAATATGAAATACTATGAATGAAATATGATACATAAGAATTTATCACATCTTATGTTGTGAATTTCTTTACGCACGACTACAAATTCCCTAACATCATTCATATACTGTTATTAAATATACACATGCAAAAGAAAAAAAAATTTGCAATATGCTTTTGTATTTGTGCATATGTATGTCATGCATAAATAGTAAGAACTCAGGATGTCTCTATATATGTTGAATAGAGGGAGTTAACATTGAGGTTAACGAGATGTTAACCGCCTCAATTTAAACTATATAAACTCTTACTGACGTACTGATGAACTTACACTAAACTTTACAATAAAATCATATAAGTACAGTACGGCATGAGCAAAAAAGAACGAATACTCTCATTCAACAATTATGTATTAATTCACTGAATTGATTTTTACATTTCATAGTTAAACGAAACTGTAATTTTGAAAAACTAAATGGTTAGATGAATTTACTGTGTAACTTTTATTAAAAATATGAAATTATAAATAATTACAATCTAATGATGAATACTAAGAGCATCATTTTGTACTTCATGGCTAAGTTGAGTCTGTAAATTGGATAATTTATTTTTTAATGCTGCAATTCCCATCATTACAATATTCTCAGGCTTCAATGCGCCACTGCTTTCAACATTAAAGTAATATTTGTTAGGTTTAGCTTCCCAGTTAAATGGTGCTTCATCTAAAATAAACGTATAAAATAATTACTGTAATTGAAAATACAATGTAATGAAAAATATAAGTTACAAACTGAAAAATAATAATAAAACTTAATTTTAATTTCTTTGTCATGAAAACTTTTAGCTTTGTTTTTTTTACTTACATTGATCTTCTTCTAATTCACTATATTCGGATTTGGGCCATTCATCTGGTTTAGGGAAAAGTGTATGGCGCATAGCATTATCAGGATCATATTCGAAACTAACTCCAGCTGTTGGATTCCATTTTGCATGTTCTTTACCAAATCCTTTCTTAGCATAAGCTCTGAGTTTTAATTCTTGACCTTTTCTTAACTTAACTATTAAAATTTCTGGAAATTTTTTGTATTAGTTCAAGATTATAGAACTAGTATAATTTTCAATATAAATAATCAATAAATATACCTTCAGCTTGCCCATATTCCATTGCATCATCTTCTCTATGTCTCGAAGTAACTGGAAGAACTCTTGGATCACTTGATTTCAGATCAGCAGTTGTAACATATCTTGTTTTACCTTCAGTACATTTAACATCTAAACTAAACTCTACGCTACACTCTGGACAAAAATCCATGCACTGACAATCACGTGAATACTGAATTTTATCAACTACTTCATCACTTATCAATGGTATCATGCCAATTCGGTGAGCAAGAAATTCATCGCTTAAAACCGTTGAGTTAGCTTCTAATTGGATCCAATCTATTGCTAAGGTTGGAGTTTCAGCTATAAAGACTCTTCTCATACTATTAGCAACACTGCAAAACAATTGAACAATATCAATGAAATTTTAAATTCTGAACATTTTCAATAATTTAAAATAAAAAAAGAGAAAACAAATTAAATAAAAGTAAAAGTGAATGATGGTTTAATTAGGCAAAAAATTGCATTAATTATGAAAAAATTTTCCTATTTTCATTAAAGTTTTGTTTGCTGTTATATTTTACCTGAGTTCGGTATCTTCTACTTGAAACTTGACATTTTCGTCATTTAGTTCTGATATGTGAACAGATGGTTGATTTGCATATGGCATTTTATTTAGAGTAGTTACTGATTACTGAATAATAATTGAACAAATTTTGAATTTTTTCGCAGATTTTTTTTATTTAAATAGCTTTGTAATCTCAATAATCGTTGCACACATTAGAGACGACAAACTTACTATAGTTCATTAGCTAACAAAAATGGGTACACTGACAGAAAAAATGTGATAGCTAGAAAGTATACTAGCGGCAAACACAGAATATACTCAATTTGAGTATAATTATTATTTGATGCAAGTACATTTTATATCAAAATGAAGTTTTAAGTGTACTGTACAATCATGATAACATTAACTTGACTGCAAATTTTTTATTACTCAATCCTAATATAATATTAATTTATACCAAAAATAGCGATTACTGCATTTTTGTAAATATTTTGTTTATCTCAAGTAGGTAGATAATAAAAGAAGATTACAAAGTTTACTTCAGTTCATAATATAGTTTTCTTACACTGACGATCTTCCATACTTTCCACAAGTGTATTTTATACGGAGATCCCGTATAAAGCGTACTTATGCTGAGTATAATGCTGTTTTACACTTCAAAAACCATTTTCTCATATTATGAATTCTTTTTTATTAATAAGAAAATACTTGTTACTTGAATCAAGTATATCAATTCTTTACTGCAAGTATATTATATACTTAAATTAAGTAAATAAAGTACTCATGCTAAAATTTTGTTCTTATTAAATTTAAAAATTTCAAAATATACATAATCACATTACATTATTATAACATGGAAAAAATAGAAACTGTTTTTGTAAAATTATTATAATTTTAAGTAATTCAACTAAATTTTGTAAAATTATTATGTTAATAAAATCTGTAAAAAATATTTGTGTCTTTTAACTAAATCATCTTTTAAAATAAAATGATGAACCGCATTCATTAAGATAGACTGATGAATTAGAGGCACGTCTATAGTTAAAAATGTTCAAGATAATTCATTAGAATATTTTGTCAATTTCCTAGAATTAATTAATAGGCATTCAATAAATTATTAATTATTATTAAAGATTCTACAATCAATAATTTATTGCTGAGCGCTAAATTACGAGTTAGATTTTTAATAGGCCAAGTCTAAGTGCAGCAGCTCCACGTATTTAAAAGTACAACAGTAATTGTTGTAATTATTATAAGATTACTTTTCATCTGTTTATTAATTACTGAATATTTAATCATTAAGTTACTTCATCAGTAATGCTCACTAATTTAAATTTACCAATATCAATGGGTATAACAGTAACTTTTTTATTATTAATATGATTATTTATATTTTGAAATTTTTAAATTTAATAAGAACAAAATTTTAGCATGAGTACTTTATTTACTTAATTTAAGTATATAATATACTTGCAGTAAAGAATTGATATACTTGATTCAAGTAACAAGTATTTTCTTATTAATAAAAAAGAATTCATAATATGAGAAAATGGTTTTTGAAGTGTAAAACAGCATTATATTCAGCATAAGTACGCTTTATACGGGATCTCCGTATAAAATACACTTGTGGAAAGTAAGGAAGATCGTCAGTGTAAGAAAACTATATTATCAACTGAAGTAAATTTTGTAATCTTCTTTTATTATCTACCTACTTGAGATAAACAAAATACATTGGCTTACATTATACTGATTCCAAGTAGAAAGACTATTTAAATACAAGTACTTTATTTTCATAAAACTTGTATACTTATTACTTCTTCAACCGCTTGTAGTCTTCTAAGGAGTGGTATATTCTGTATTTAGACTCAGTATTTTTTTAATCATTTCAAAACGAAGTTTTACTGATTCCAGGTACTTTCTTTACCTGCCTTCCGAAACTTTTTTACCTATCACTTTTATACTGGGGACAAGTAAATTCTATAATTCGCCACCGGAAAATATTTCTGTCAGTGTACGGCGCACGGTAGAACTGTTATCTCTTACCGATCTTGAGATATAAACCAAATTATTGATTGAAGGACATGAATTAGTTCTCAAAAAACGTAAAACAATTTTTTTTAAAACGTAAAACCATCGGTAATACATTCTATGTATTACCTATCAACTTAAAATGTACGTAAATATTTGTCGTTTTCGATACCGGAAAACTCGGTCGGCATAATGCCGATGCGGCATAATGACAGCGCGGAATGTACGATCGATCGTCGCGCATAACATCCACGCAGGTTAAGAATTAGAAGCGGCACCTTAAGTTTTCCGGCATGTTAGATTTTTGCGCCTTTTCTGATTTTAACTTATAAAATCTAAAAAGTAATAAGTGAGGAGATGTAAGTAAAATAATTAGTGCAACAATTAATATGAACACATAAATTTTAGTTCTATTCTTTAAATTTTTCCTCCTCTCTTTTTCTTCAATTTAGTAGGATACAATTTCTCTTCTATTGCATTCCCACCATCAATTTTTTTCATAAGAATTTCCTACAAATAAAAGAAAAGAAATACTTATTATGTTCAATTTTTAATTATTGTGATTAAATGTAAAAAATAGATTAGCTACCTTACTTATCATTTATGAGTCACTTAATTTTTCGTTAAACATTATAAAATAAATAACAATCTCTAGACTTTGTACACTTTGGTTTTCTTTAGGGGGAAATTGACCGTTCAGAATGAAGTCGTAAGTAGACAGAAGATTCATGCTGCATTCACATGAGAGTGAATCAAAAGTCAACAGAATAACTATTTGAATTTTTCTGTAAATCTATATTTAGAATTTTCTCAAAAACTCAATTCAAATAAAAAGTAATTTTGACAAAAATTATTAATAATTTTAACATAATTTTAACTGTTGCGTCTTTAATGCCTTATACTATTGTACTGGAGCGACATTTATACCAGAACTATACTGTCCTGAACATTTTGGTCATATAACATTTGTGCCCCTTTCGAAATGTGCTAGCAGTAAATTTACAATGTTGGTAGAGTAGAAACAGTGAGTGTTTTCCATTTAGAAAAAAAAGTCGACACAGTGCAACACAGTGTCCATACTATAGCAAAAACCTAATGCCAACTAAAGCTTGGTAACTTCAATACTTTCATTGGCAACACTACTTTTTCACAACGACCAGCAAATTAATGATTGACTTTTAAAAAAAATAATGGATAATACAGGTAAATTGAGAAAATTATCAGATATAAAAGTTTTTCGTGATGAAATTAAGGTAGTATCTTCTATTATTTACATAATTCAATGCTATGTAAATCTCAATGTATGTATTATCTCAAAATTCTCATTTTTTTAAACATTTTTTAAAAAAATTTTTTTTCTCCTAGTAACTTTTATAAGCTGCCCTCTATCGAAACACAATAAAAGTAAATGTTCCATTTATAAAATTAGTCGGCACAGTGTCAAACACACAGAGGTTTTCTTTAAATGGAAAACACCCAGTTTTAACCGTTTGTTGTGTTTATTTATTCAATGATCCTCTAGTACATGTATTTATTAGATATAAAGTATATTCATTATGATTAGTAAAATATTCATTGATTATTTTTTTTTCTATTTTTTTATTTATTTACCAAAAAAAGTATATATTTTAATTTATCTGTACCTCAAAATTATGAAAAATTCAAAAAAACATGAAAACATGATTTTAAATCTATTTAATTTTCTCCTAATATTTTTAATAATTTGTCGAACCCTTTTCTTTTCTTTTCCAACGCCTCTTCTTCTTCTTCTTTTTTTTTTTTTGATGTGTAATATTTGGAACAAGACATTGAACTATAAAATGACAATGTTCATTTGGTTGTACTTTACTCCATTGTCATTGCAATAAAATAACCCTTACATTTTGTTTCGCAGCTTGAGATTTTTCCCATCTCTTTTTTTTTTTCTTTGTAGAAACATCTATTTCAATTTTTTGTTTCGTTTTTTCATCTTTTAGTGAATTTTGTGTTCTTGTTTCGATGACCTGTAAATTGAATTTTATTAAAAAGTATTCAGAATATCAATCACACCGATTTTTTAATATCTTTGTACAGTCACGACTATTGACAGATAAATAAAATATCTTCGTCTAACAATTTATGATTTATTTACCTCTTTATCAGTCATGTTTAATAAAGAACTGACTATCAATTTCTCTGTTTCATAAACTTGAAAGTCAACACTTATAACATGTAAATTAATAATGTTCCCGGGGTTCCACGATCTCTATAAACGAGTGAGTGGAACATAGGTTGAGCACCTACCGGGCGCATCTCCAGGTGGCGGATACGAGCATTGTCCGGGTAGTACCGAGTGGAGGCCTCGGGGGCCGCGAGGCGTACCGAGTGCAAACACGAGGGAAGCCGCTGGCAAGTGCAGCTTGGGTGTGTACACACTTTAAGAGGCACCGTGGACCAACTCCCCAAGTCAAGGTGTAAGCCATCGTGCTGAAGACTGAATGGCACTGGGACACTGTGTCGCAAACGATGCCCTTGGGGTACCAGGCGACCCCCCATTGTAGCTAGCCTTACCTGTGCAAGAGGCTCTGCACAGGTGGATCTTTATTTCCTCATCACTCGTGGGACTCGAATGGATGACTTAGACAACATTCGGAGTAGTGGGGGTCCTATCTCTTCTGACGAAGAAATAGGACTTTGAAAAGCCGAGGCGGGACGAACCAGCGAGAACGGCGAGGTGCAAACCGAGCTGCCTTGTAAGGAACGACCTGCTACCGGCAAGGAGGATCAGGGGAAGAAATTCGATAAACCTGATCCACCGTCACGCCCCAATAAGAAAAAGCTTTGCGGGGCAGCGAGGAAGAGGTTGAGGAAGGCTAAGCTGCTGGAACTGGAGAAATCCGGGGCTAGCACAGCCGGAGCGAAGGCTGAGCCAAGTCAGAGGAAACCGGGGGCCCCTGTGGTAACCGGCGGAATCTCTGGAGGCAAGGCAACTTCCTGTGGTACCAGGACTGACCCTAAGGTCGAGACCGGGGCCACTAGCTCCACCAAGTCGGGGTCTTCCACCGAAGCCGTGGGTAACACCAAAAGGCAGAGGTCGGAGGATTGCACGACGCAAAATGTCGAGCGAAGAAGGCTCGCGTAGCACCTGGGCCTGGCAGCTTTGCTAAAGCGGCTGCGGGAGGCAAGAGGGTGGCCATCGCGCCGGACCTCTATCCTTCTGCGACCCTCAGCAAGCAGCAAGGG